CTGGCACAGGGCAACAGGACAGAAGACCTTGAGTTGGCCGCAGGATTCATGCAATGCTTCACTGCGCAATCCATGGCAACTGACGCCCTGACGAACGTGCCGTGGGCAAAGGAGATCCGCCATCTGTCCGAGCTCGAGCATGACTCGCTGTGGGATCTGAGCTTGCCTACTGAGTACGTCCCTGGGACATCAAGGCCGGCGGTAGACGTCGTGCCCACCATCTATGTGGTGACTTCCGATTCAACTTTGGCTCTGATCACTGGAAAGGGTAAGACTTTGAAGAAGTACACCTTGAAGGAGGATCTGGGATTGCGAAAGTCGGACATGGTTCTCGAAATCGGTCATGACATGCTCTGGGGTAAGGATTTGCAACAGCTCTGCAAAGCAAATGTTTCCATGATCAAGGAGCTGATGGCGAAATATTCTTCTCATGGATCAGCCATCAGGGTTATTTCGGTAATCTTTTGGTCTGGGAATGAAATTTGTGGGGAATATGGTGTTGAACCCCTTCCCATTTGGGGGCAGAGGGAACCACAGGGCGACTGGAATGCCATCATGGACAGGGTCAAAGGCAACATCGTGTGGTGGAACAATCAGCTCAAGGAGTTGGGAGTGGATCAGGCCGCCCTAATCGGCGAGCCCGACCCGCTCACTTATGGATTGAGTCTCATCTTCACCACGTTTGTTGATCGACTGAAGGAATGGTTCCACAAGGAGATTGCCAGTGACAACGATCGGATTCGGTGGATTCAGAATGACAAGCTTCCACCAAGGCTTGAGCTCAGGGACTACTTTCACGCATTCGAGACCGAGCTCAACCGAAGTGAAATGATCGGATATGTCATGGCAACTCTTCACATGTTGCACATGACGGACATCTTGATTCCTCAGTACAACCTGTCTTTGTACAAGCGCAGGCGCCCTGCAGGAGAGGCTACAATGCGTGATGTCCCACCAAAGATGGAGCACCTCCCAGTCAGGTTTGTGCAGGTTCTCAATGCTCTCCGGGAGAAGACGAACAAATCTGCACCGAGCGTCTCGACCCCAGAAAGCTTCACAGCAGAGGAGTTGAGAGCTCGCCCGACTGATGCTGGCGTCGCCGAAGATGATGATGAGGAAGGCGACCCATGGGATGCTCTGGATCCCGATGAGCATGAGGGCCCATCGGTGGGCAAAGCCAAGGCCAGCCACGCAGCTCCACCTGACCCCAAGGCGAAAGCTCCAGCGACACAGGAGGATTCAACTCAGGCCACCTCAGCTGGTGAGCCCCTGCAAGAAAACGAGATCAAGGGTACCATCATTCCGAAACATGCACTTGGGCACCTTGACAAATATCGTATCACTTTGGACGAAAACATCAATGCAGAAGTAGTTGAACATTGTGTCGTTGATTCCCATCCCTACGAATTGATCATCAAAACCTGTTGGGAGATGGATGGGGCAAAGGAGCTGAGGTACCCAGATCGCATGGACCGACACAAAACCAAGGTCAATGCAGTGACGCGTGGACAGCCAGGTCAGGACACCTCTGGATTTGATGAAAACATGTGGCTTGACCTTGATGACTTCTTTCGAATGTTCAACCAAATGCTGCCAGCCAGGTTGCCCCGAATGACAGTTGAAGAGCTTATTTCATTGCTCTACTGGGACAGCAAGTGCCGTTTTGAGTTCCAGTGCATTGCCGGGTACCAGAAGGCAACCCGTAAAGGGTTAGCCTACTGGCCCATCAGGATCCGTGCAGTGCAGGGGCATACGAAACGTGCCATGGATGCCGCTTCAGCTGAGGACACGTTCAATGCAGTGGAAATCTATGCTCTGTCTGGAGCAGCAGCGATCCAGAAAATGAACGCCAAAGGTAAAAAGATTACCACTCCTCAGATGTGCCCTGGCGTAGTTTATCACAGGACTACAAAAGGCAATTGGAAGGGCATCATTGAGAATGGCTTCATGGCTGGAGGAGGAGAACGAAATTCATCAGGCAGAGCACACTCCTATTTTAGCGATGTTCGTGTCGATGAGAAAGAGTATGTGAGCGGTTTGCGTGCTGAGCGACCCATTGAAATCAGGGTTGCAATGGCAGAAGCTGTCAAAGCTGGAATTGTGTTTTTCAGGACAGCCTCCGACGGCATTCTTACAAGCGACGTCGTCCCGCCACAATACATTATTTCTGTCGATGACACTGCCAAGAAGGTGAATTTGTATCGTCGCCAGCAGGAGGTTGCACAGTCTGCAGCAAGCAGTGGGGGAGAAGTTGGAGTCCAGAAGCTTGTCGAGACCTTTGAGGCCAAGGCATCAAAACGGACTGGTTCCAAGTCTCCGGCCGCCTCAACTGGCGCGCCCACTGCAACAGCATTTTTCCCAGGAAAGGTGAAGCCTCCGCCACCAAATGTGGCCCAACTTGCCGGAATGCCTGGATATGCAAGCAGCAGATTGTTGCCCCCTCCTCCGAAGGGTGAAGCTCCGAAACCTCCTGCAGCAAAGGTTGAAAGCCCAAAGACACCGCCAAAAAAAGTACCTCCAAAACCATCACCGAAGGAAGGGACTTCTGCACCTCATGCACCAGAAGTTCCAAAAGCTGTGACCTCAGAAGTTGATGCAGCAGCAAAGGATGAACCTGCAAAGAAGAAGGCAGCCCTGACAAGCGTGCCCGCAGCTGTGCCTGCGGCATCGTCAGCTGCGGCCTTCTTGGAGCCGGTACCAAAAGTTGCACCGCCGAAGGCAGTACAGAAAGAACCAAAAGCTCCAGTTGCAGAGTCACCCAAAAAGACGCCGGCATCAACATCAAAGTCACTGGTGCCAAAGCAGAAGTCTCGCCCTAAAGGCGATGACCAACCTTCGAAGAAAGAGGTGAAAAAGGAGGAGAAGAAGCCGGTGCCGGTCAAGATTGAAGTCGCGCAATGTTCAAGATGTTTTGCACAGACTTTCAAGGGACAGATTGAATGCGATGTGTGTGGATTGATGCTCGAAGGGGTGAACAAGGCCGACCGAACCAAGATTGCAGAACGCAGGAAGGCCGCCCTTCACAAGCTGGGCTTGTACTATGATTTTCGTGGTGAGTACCTGCAGAGCATCACACACAGTCAGCTTGAATCTTTGGGTTCATTGGACGACCAGGCAAGAGGAAGCTCTAGTCCGGAAGCCAGTTTGTTGGCAAGGGCAAAGAGTCGATTCGACCGTGCCTTGAGCTTGGGCTATGTGTCTGTGGCTGACAGGTTTGCCCAGGACGCCACATTCGCAGAGAGCATGCTGAACGAGGGGGAGAACGAGTACGATTGTGAAAGGTACGACCTCCTCAAGTCTGCACATCTGCCGAAGCCAGGTCGTACCAAGGCTCAGGTCAAGATGGGTGTTTCTGAGCAATCCCAGCTGGAGCACAATGCGATGAGGCTGGTTTACTTGGACATGACAAGCCGTCTTGACGTCCCGAAGTCATTCAGGTACATCGACCAGCCATGGTTCTACATGTACCGGACGGAAATCTACTCCGAGGAAGAGTACATTGACTACCTCAACCGGAATCCTGGACACAACCTTTTGTTGTCTTGCACTGGCGTTGACAACATTGCTGTTCATGATGCTGAACGTCATTTGAGGTGGATTAAGGGACAAAACGAGGAGCTGTACAAGCAGAACGCGGCAGAGAAGAAACAGTCTGACAGGGCTCGCGAACAGAACGAGGCCAAGCGCAAAGCTGAGCAGACTGGTGCGTACGGCCAAGGTCCCTCCAAGAAAGGCACCGCCAAACCGGTTGCCCGAACATCCACCGTAGAGGTAGCTTCATCATCAACGTGTGCAAGTCAGTGGATCAACCGCCCTCAGCAAAGTCAGTCCCACGATGATCGCCGTTACACTGGAGAATGGCAGAAGTGGCATGGACGCTGGTATGAGAAAGTCATCAGGCATGGCCGAGTTGAGTGGGAAGAGGGATAAGTTGTGAAACTGCTTGCATTGACGATCGGTTTTTGTATCATAGCCGCTGAGTGTGTTTTCCCTTGGGTTTGCAAAGAGCCAGTTCGGTGAGGCAGGTCTTAAAGACCTCGCCCTGGTAAATGCGGCATCCTCGCCGTAACCGGCTCACCTGAGGGGGGTGTAAAAGCACCTCACACAAAACACACATGTATGATAGTAACATTCAACAGCATTGCGGCTCAGATCTAAAAGGGTGTTGCGCTGCTAGCTTAACGGTTATTTTCCCCACTGTTGTGTAGGTTTATCAGTCTATTTGGGATAAGTAATTTTCCCCGCTGAAACCTGAAAATACAGGAATAAGTGATATGTAAGTCCTGTTTATGAAAATACTGTTTATATACTTTATTTTAATTGTTTTACAATCCCACTGAATGGCCTCAGCGTTCTTTCCATGATGCTGCGTCAACTTGGCTTTTTCACGGTTTTTCTCCCCTTGTAGCATCTGAAAAAGATAGAAAAGTAGAATCCTACTAAAATCACTGGATTGGTTCAAGGGAAAATCTACAGGAAACCATGGTTTTTACCATCAAATATAGGATTTTCCTGTAAATTTTCCCATAATCCAATTCTATGATAAAAGAGTGATAAGGGGAGACACTATCAACCAGTGGATATGGGGAAAGATATATAAATGAAGAAAGATAAATATGTTTTCATGGTTACTTATCAAATCTACTGCTTTTCTACTGTTTTGGGTGTTACTATCAACCAGTGGATATGGGGATAGCATGGTACCATATTCTCAGACAAAACCATTAAATCATCATGAAATGGCCTATAAAATCCTTTAAACCCTCGTTAAAGTCCATGAAATCACCATTGAATCACCATTTTATCATATCATAATTATATCCCCATATTAGTTGCTGAAATTCCATTCAAATCACATCAAAATCCATCAAAACTCCAATTAAAACCCATTCAATCCCAGTAAATTTCCATTAAAATCAGTTTTTTCCGCCGTAAAATCACATGTTTTCCCTAGTAAAATCACCATTTTCCCCAGTAAAATCCACGCATCACGGTCCGAGGATGAACTTGGACTGCGATCCCCGCAGGGCAAGCGCCCACGGCACACCAATTTCCATCGCAGCGCAGAATGGGCACTTGGAGGCGTGGCGTTCCAAGGGCAGAATGACATAGTTCTGGTTGGTGGTTGGTGGCTGGTGGTTGGTGATATAACTATAGTATTCATGGGGATTATTTCATGGTTTATTAGCCAACTTACCGATTTATTCAGTTCATGTTGGATAATAATGGGACAATCATGTCATTATGAACCATATGGATTAATATTGGGATAATCATGGGATAATCATGTGAATAATTATTGGGATTACCCTCTGGTAAACATACAAAAAACTATAGAAAATCACATAAAATCACCATGTTTGATGGCTAAATCAACTATTTCTATGACCATTTTCAATAGCAAACTGCGAGTTTACCAGAGGGTAGTCCTCACCAGTGATGTACGTTGGTTTAGAAGCCCATTAATATTAGATCGATATGGGGATATTTCATGGATATATATATATATCTGTATCTATGGGATATAACTAAGTTATTTTTATCTATACAGGATGGGGCCCCAAAGATAGCGATCGTTGCCTTATAAGTGGTTAAACAATGGTTTATGGTAGGTAGAACGAACTAGTTAATGGGGTTTATGAACTAACTTATAACTGGGGGGGCACCACCTTGTACGGAGTTCATCTCCAATAGCTGTGCTTTATAATAGCTAAATGCGTTGTTTATAAACCAACAAACATAGTTAAAATAACAGGATAAATACTGGAGTGGTTTATAATACTCCTAAATAACTTATAGTTCATAATACCTAATACTACTAGTTCATTGTTTATAGTACCTAAATAATAGCTATAACCTCAAGAAATACCTTTATAGTAGGTATTCTACTATAGTTCATAGTACCTACCCCAATAATATACGAATAACTGTGCTTTACAATACCTAAATAACTATAGTTCATGCTGTTTATAAACCAACGAACATCTGTGGGGGTGGCCACATTGTGGCCAAATGGAGATTTCCTAAGTCATGCGGGTACCCCTCAATCACAAATCATTGATGGCAAAAAAAATCAAGTACTAGGTAGTATCTAACGTTGACCCAGTTGATACCCCCATTCCTATGGAAGTTATGGAGCATTTAAATAGCTCCAAGGTGATGTGATCCATGTGCTTAGGTAACGACTGGGGCACCACCTTGTATACACACATATATATAATATTATAATATATATATATATACTGTATATCCCAGTAAATCCAGCTATAACCAACCAATCACTCAGGGTCGTTGTAATTTAGCCAGAACTTCATGGAGATAAGTAGTTGATATATCGTATATCCCATTATATTCCATGATATTCACACAATAATCTCATTTAAATCCCATAAACATCTGGGGGGTTCCATAAATGGGGGTACTCCAATAGCTGGATGGTTTATAATGCAAAAAAAAACCTACTGGGGGAAAAAAAACTGGATGATTTAGGGGTAACCCCATTTGTAGTTCTTTACCTGAGTTGGTGAACATATATCTAATAACTCGGCTTTATGATACATATATACCTGGGTTTGTTTAAGGTGACGTTTTATTTTCCCAATGGAAAATCCACCATGACTGGGGAATCGATTAAGTGAATATGTTTTATTTTTGGGGGGACCCCTTACTTAAGCAAATCCAAGTATATATATATATATATAACAAGTATATATGGAGGTTATGAACCAACAACGAACATCACTGGCTGGGCAGCCCCTTGTATACTTGGGGCTGCAATTGTTCGGTTAGTTTTATGGCTTAGTGGATCTTTCCATAGTTAACCAGTGATTTTCCGTTAAAAATGGTGATTTACCCGTTAAAAATGGTGAGGGTAATGGCTGGGTTTTCAACGATGACCCCTTTGGAGGCGTCAAACATGGCTAGCTGGCAATGTTTATGGCTATTCTTAGTGAGGGTTAAAAGGGGTGAAACTACACCAACAAACATATCCTTGGGGTTCCCCACCTTGTTGGGAGGTTTTTCCTAGTGTTTGGAAGAAAGACAATTTGAATTTGTCGATTGTGATTGAACCGTTAAACATGGGTGTCAACTGTTAACCACGAAAAATTGGTATATGATTAAGAACTACGATTGTTAGTGGATTGTTGATTGGTTTTGAAATGAAGGTTCGTAACCTACCTGGCTTAGTGTTGGTGACACTTTTACTTCCAGGGATACCAATTAACCAACCAGTAGACTGAGATGGGATAGGGCTCTTGATTTTTGTTGTGGCCTTTCCCCAGCATCAAGCTGATCAAACCAAAATAAAACCATCATCATATAGGGATATCATATGGGAAATTCATGGAAATTCATCCAAAAAATGCGGCGAAAAATCTCTACCACCAAGGTGCTGAGTTGTTTGCTGAATGGAAAGTCTCCGCGCACTGGAGAGGTGCCAATCGTGGGGCGATCGTTGGGCGTGGCACAAAGTGGAGGTTTGAGTGGGGAAAATCATGGGAAATATATAGGAAAATATGGGAAAATACACAAAAAGATGTAGGTTTCAATGGGAAAGTCAACTATAAATGGTGTTCCATTGCCTCTTGATTAATCTTTAGATTCAATATGAATAAGTGTTGTTTCATCGACTGAATTACGCAAGGGTACCCGCATAAGCGGAAGAGAAATCGATTGTTGGATGTGTATGTACATTCTGAGGTAGGGGGATATTCATTCATATAGAAGAACAAATTTATATGGATATGTTCACCTAGCTGGATTCGTTCCGGTATATAAAATTTAAACGTTTTTTGCAAAAGGTGCGGAAGCGATATCATATTCTCCAGGTCATTCACGCACAGAAAATTCACCATGTTCGACAAAAATGGGGGATGTTCCATTGTCAAGTTAGAATTACTGGATAATTGTTTTAAGATTACTCTCCAGTCGACTAATACAGATATGGAAACCTACGATGTTTTGACCAGTTTCCTTGGGAAACAATAAATTTTCCATATCTAGTAAATATCTCTGGACCAATAAAGAGGACACAAAAACAAAAAACAAAAAAGTCAGTTGCCATCGTTTGAGTTAGACTTTACTTTCCTATCTGCGAATTCCTAGGTTCCTGATACTTCCTATTAAAGATCATTCCCGAAGTTTACGTCCCAACCTGAACGGCACTGCACAGCTGCCAAACAGCTAAGGCGTTGCAAATTGCCTCTGAGCAGGGCCATTTGGATATCGTGAAGCTCTTGCTTCAATTGAATCCCAAGGCTGGTTTTTACCAGCTGGATGCACCAACTGTGTTTGTTAATTTCATGGGTTTCATGAAACTAAGAATCAATGGTAATGTCAACCCTGGATTAATAAACCCCTAGGCTGTTTAATGGGGGGATATCATATTGTGACTATTTGGAGGTACCCCCACAATTAATAAATCATGGTTTATTAATCCGGGTTGACATTATTGGTGTATTTCAAGGGTTTAACCACCATCAGTTGGGATTCTCTCTCTCTCTCTCTCTCTTTGGTAATTTAACATAGAGAACTAGAAAATCAACATGCTATTAGTGGCTAAATCATCTATGTCAAAGAGGGCCATGTGGAACCCAGCTATGATACGGAGGGGATCTACAACTCACTCAACAGTTGTTTTCTTAGTTTTTTCTCACTAAGAGTGGCTTTTTTTGCGGCAAATGGTGCAATGTGGGGCCCCCGAGTTATAAGTTGGTTTATAAGCCCCAATAACTAGTTCGTTATAAGTACCATAAACCAAAGTTATTGGAGTTATAAACCAACTTAGCTATCTAGGGGGCCCCACTTTGTGTATACCCCACGGGTTCTGGTCATCTTTCACGATGGGAAAGCAAAAATGAGGAGCTTCATGGGATGGCCAATGACACCAAGTGCAAGGGTTGTAACGTGTGCCTTCAAGGTAATGTCAACCCTGGATTAATAAACCCCGTTTACGGCTTTTTAATTGGGGGGGTATCATTTAAGTATCAGATGAAATGACTATTGGAGGAGTACCCCCTAATTAATAAACCATGGTTTATTAGTCCGGGGTTGACATTACACTGCATCTGGATGGTTGGGGTTGGAATAGATCCTTTTCCGATTGCCTGATTACCCGATCACCCGGTGTCATCATGGCCCCTGGCAATGGTGGCATTGGGTTTACCCCCATTTTTCTGGTGGTTTTTGATCAGTTCCGGAGGGTTTAACATCTGAGAGATCCCATGATTATCCAAATATTATCCCAATCATCCCTATTAAACAGCATAAATTCATATACAAATTCCCCACTAAACCATATACAAAGCCATATAACAATCCCTATGAAACCATATAAAAACCATATAGAAGATCCCATGGTTCTCCCCCTTTGAGAGCAGGAGATCCCCGGGAAGGCGCTACATGCGGCCACCTTCCATGGGCACTCGGAGGTCGGGTGAGATTGTCTTGATTTATGGGACATTTAAGAGGATATCTGGTTGGTGGGTTCAAACATGTTTGTTTCTCCATAATATATGGATAACCTTCCCATTGACTAATATTTTTCAAGATGGGTAAAACCACCAACCAGATACGATGGTGATTTAATAGGACATTTAACCATGGCTCAATATGTGATCTTAATATGGAATCGGACACAGGATATGATGGAGTATCTATATATAATATTATTCTGATTGGTGGTTTGGAACATGATTTTTATGACTTTCCATTCAGTTGGGATTTTCATCATCCCAACTGACTTTCATATTTTTCAGAGGGGTGGGTATACCACCAACCAGTATTTAATCGTGGCTTAATACGTGATGTTATATCATTTCATAGTGATTTGAGAGGCGTTGATATGTGATAATGGTGATTTCAATCGGATTCGATCTGATTTACGGGATATTTCACGGTGAGTTAATTGGAGTTTTAATGGTGATTTTATGGTGACTTACTGGGATTTCACTGGGATGTACTGGGACTTATGGGATATTGATGGGTTAATGATGGTTTAATGAGACATTTAAGAGGATATGATGGTGATTTAATAGGACATTTAATGGGATTCAAAAGGATTCAATGGGATTTAATGGTGATGTTCATATCATTTCCATGACTATGAAGGCCGTGCATCAAAACTGGATGTCATACAAGATTCTCCTTATGCAGCCACCAACGAGACGCTGACGAAGATTGCACAACATCGTTGGTCCGCTGGCATTTTCTTGTACTATCTGGAGTTGGTCCGAAGCAAAATGTCAGACATGTCCGAAGCATCGCATCAGTTGCCAATCGCCATTGCACTGAGCCTTGCGGCCACCTTGGGCTACACCGCCATTGCATCAGCGCCATTGATTACAGTGACGCCAATCAAGGCCCACGCTGGACCGATGATTCGCCAAAGTCTGTCGTGCCAAAATGGGGCTTGCACGACAGACAATTTGAAGAAAGGTCTGGTATTGCTGAGCCGCCTGGTATTTATCCCATAAATATCCCATAAATATCATAAATTGGATATCTAGACCATAAATCAATTGGATATTTAAGAGGATTGATGGATATTGATGCAATGGTGAGGTAATGGTGAGTGGTGATCTAGTGGGATTGCATGCTGATTTAACTGGATTCTATAGGGTTTTTTTGGTGATTTAAGATTGTTATTTAATGGTGATTTCATGGTGATTTAATGGTGATTTAGTGGGATCTCATGGGGATTCCATGGGATGTCATGGGAGTGTTGATGGGAACCAAAGGTTTAATGGGATTTAATCAACGATATAGGGATACCCTCTGGTAAACTAACATAACTATGGAAAATCACCATTTTTAATGGGAAAATCCACTATAAATGGTCATTTTCAATAGCTATGTTAAATTACCAGAGGGTATGTAATGGGAGAGATACAGGGGATACATATCCAACTGAATATGACTTACACCGGGGCAGTGTTTTTCAACCCATCTGGGAGTTATAAAAGGTGCATAGAGACCATCTCAACCAACCCATTAGGAGTTATGGCCCAAAATACCAGTTATAAGTTATAAGTACTCACAGTCACCCCATAGAAATAGGATGCGTCTCATCCCATAGTTTTTATAACCAGTTTATTTCACCATCATTAGAATCACTTGTTTCGCCACAAGAAAAACCAACAACCATTAAGCACCATTATAATGATCACCATTAATATCACTAGCACGATTTATCATGTTATAACCATTAATGGGAAAATCCACGAACTAAATGGTCATTTTCAATGGCTAACTATTATAATGATCACCATTAATATCACCATTATAACCAACAAACATTATCACTGTTTATCATTTTATAACCATTAAGCACTAGTGATCACCAGTTATTTCACCAGTTAGTTCACTAATAGCCATGGCAGGTGGTGAAGGCTTTGGTCCAGGCCGGAGCCGACATCAACGAAGAAGACGAGGCGGGGCCCGGGGTGGCTGAGAAACTCCGAAATGGAAATGTGGTGAAAGTGTGGGTTGAACCATGATTTTCACCATGATTTATGATATTTATGGAGATATTGAATGGTGATTTATGATATTTATGGAGATATTGAATGGTGATTTATGATATTTATGGAGATATTGAATGGTGCAAGTTTGATAGAGGTTTTGAAGGGTCATGGGATGAAATTTGTGGATTTTATCCTGATTTAACCATGTTATAGATGTTTTTATAGATCGAAAAGAAATAGACTTTTGGATTGCTGGAACCCTGGGATCCCAAGCGGGCGGTTGCTGGATGGGTTGCTGGGGGCTTGCTGGGGGTTGCTGGGATGATCTGCGACTGCCAGTGGATCATACCCGAAAATTCCCGACATTTAGCACAAGACTATCAACATCTAGCAATTTTTGTTAGAAAAAACGATGACGAAATGAGGTGTTTACCTTCAAAAGGGCTGGTTTTACAATGACAGTCAGGGTCTAATTCTGAGACATGGGGATAGTACATGGATATGATTTAATCAGATCAGAGCAACCATTGTGGGGATATGTTCTAGGATATGTAGCTTCTAGCCAAGAAGATGATATGGATTTGTCCAAAGAAACAAGTAGGAATTGAGGACCCTGTGTTTGCTCTATCATGTGTTTCTTAAACACCTGGAATTCAAAGCACTGGCAATAAATTATCTGGTTGGTGGTTTCAAACATGGCTTTTATTTTCCATATCATCTAAAAGCAATAATCCCAACCCCCATTGGACGAACTCCATCATTTTTCAAGATGGTTAGCCAGCACCACCAACCAGGGAATAGTTGATTTTCCCATGAAAAATGGTGGATCTGGACTCATCGGATCGAAGAATATGGAGCTGGTAACGTTTTCCCAGTTGGGAAGCCTAGCCATGGAAAGATCCCACCATTTTTTAATGGCTACCCGGCCTGGTAAACAAACATGTTGCTATTGAAAATGGCCATTGAAATAGTGGATTTTCCCATTGAAAATGGTGGATCTTTCCATAGTTATGTTGGTTTACCAGAGGGTAAATCCTATAACCGCATTAGGATGTTTACCTTATAGTTACCCTCTGGTTCTGACTAACATAGCCATGGAAAATCACCATGCTATTAATGGGTAAAGTCACTATTTCTATGGGCCATGGCTTCCATGGCTATGTTAAATAACCAGAGGGTACCCCTTACAATTATGGCCATGACCACTTGTAAAGAGGAATGGCGCCCCGGTTATTTGGCAAGGATTATAATTAAAATTGACACAACCTGAAGATTGCCCCAATATTCGATGATAATTCATAGATATTCATGAGGTTATCCCAGGTTCTGTTACCCGGCCTGGTAAACATACAAAAAACTATAGAAAATCACCATGCTATTAATGGGTAAATCCACTATAAATCACCATTTTCAATAGCAAACTGTTTGTTTACCAGAGGGTATATTCCCCATGAATTCCCCACGATATACTCCCCTATAATCTTCAGGCTTCCACCACCCGTCGGCCATCGCAGGAAGGTTGGACGGCGGCCATGCGCGCGGCACAGTACGGCCATGGCTCTATTTTGCGGTATTTCCTGGACACGGGAGCCAGTAAGGACGGGACCGAACCTGGAATCGTAGTGAATAGTGGAATTATCCCAATATAACCGAACTTGTTCGGTGAATTATAATTTGCCCAGATTACTATATGTTTGATTGTTTTTGTTTTAGTTATTGGGAGAACCTTAAAGATCCATCATTCAATTTCAACTTCATGGTATTGAAAGGGATGTTTCTTTACATGGTTTTTTGTGACTGTCTTGTGGGATTTGAATGGATTGGTGATAGTTTTTTAGTGGGACTTGAATGGCGGTTTAAGTGAAAAACTGGCATATTAGAAAATCATCTGTAAATTGGGCTCTTGTTGTGGATAATGACTTGATGATTGGAATACACAATTTTTTGGAAGAGGGGTTAGCATCAAAACTTCAGGGGTTGTGAAACCTTCAGCATGTTTTGTGTGGCTTTTGGGATTTTAGTGCATGGCCCTTTGGTGTTTGTTTGTGGGATGTCAATGGCAGTCTAACACCTTTAAACCCACAAGTGGGCATCGAAATATCAGAGAAAGTCATCATCCATGTCTATCCAAAATCATCCCGTTTCAAGCCACCAAGAATGAAACCATCAACAATGAATGTTCCAACAGGTGGTTTAAACCATAAAGAGGATGATCCCCAACGACGAGCACGCATGTCGCAGATGGTCTTGGCACTGCACCAAGAAGGTCTTGGATATGCATCCCATCCTAAGTGGTTTGTAATGTACATGATCACAAGATGCCTCAGATTGTAGACCAATAGAACTAGTGACATGTTGAATCTCATCGGCCAAATATCCTACAAGGTGGTCCCCAGCTATATTTGTTGGTGTAGACCCCCCATGAATATACGTACGAGTTCTATATTATATATAATAATATGATATGAATATATATATATCATAAACCTTACTGATTAGAGTTATGTTCGCTAACTTAGCGATTCCTAAATACCATTGGACCCCATTAAATTCCACTAAACCTTTTGACACTTCTGACACTTTATGGATACTGCACTGAGTCGTCGGCTTGCATTCCTGCAGTTCACACGCACTGGACCCCATAAACTTTAAGCCATATCTGGTTGGTGGTTTCAAACATGTTTTAATTTCCATATGGGATAATCCTTCCCATTGACGAACTCATATGTTTCAAGATGGTTATTGCACCACCAACCACTATTAGATTATCATCATTACTGCTAAGAATACCAAAAACTTAGCTCACCAAACTGAACGGGGCACAACCGGCCGCGTTGCGACGCGCGCTTCACCGCTTCGAATGCGCTTCGCCGCCGGGTCAGGATCGGGTCAAGAAAACGGGCGCCCTGGCGTTGTTGCTGGCAGCGGAGTATGGGCACCTCGAGGCCGATTCGCCGAAAGGGGTGCTTGGTTCCATGGATTTTTCCATTGGGTTTTTCCATTGGGTACCCTCTGGTAAACATACAAAAAACGATGGAAAATCACCATTTTTAATGGGTAAATCAACTATAAATGGGCAATTTTCAATAGCTATGTTAAATTAGCAGAGGGTAACGGTTTTTCCATGGCTTTTTCCATGGGTGCTTTTTTAGGGATTTATGGGCTTTATATGGATAGTCATGGGATTTGATGGGATTAGTCAACTCAGAAATTGGGAATTTTGTGGGATTGTAATTGGGGATTTACAGCAGGGAAGGCAAATTTGGTGCTATATTGTCCCATGAAAATGGTGGGTTAAGCAGCAACTGTAGGGAGTTAATGAGTGAAAAGGGATGGAATCGGACACAGGATATGATGGAGTATCTATATAATATCTGGTTGGCGGTTTCAAACATTTTTTCCATAATATATGAAATAATCCTTGCCATTAACTAATATTTTTCAAGATGGTTAAAACCACCAACCAGAGTATCTATATATAATATAATTAATACAATGGAGTATCAATGATCAACCACTAACTTGGTAAATCGCCATAAACCATCCCTGAATTGGGTTTACTATTGGGTTTACTACGGTCCCGTAGAAATGGGGTGATGTGGGTTGTCCGTCGGTTCAAGAAAAACCCCACGTAACTCGTGAAAAATCGATCCAGCATTACCCTCTGGTAATTTGTTACATAGCTATTGAAAATGGTGATTTATAGTGGATTTTCCCATTAAAAATGGTGATTTTCCATAGCTATGTTAAATTACCAGAGGGTAATCCAAGTTCACATAGTTATACTATTATAAGAACATGATATACCAACTGACCAATCTTTTGAATAGTTAAAAACCACCATAAGCTCAGTATAAAACCACCACCATAAACCTTCCCTTTTGTTTAACGGTCCCTTGTCCTTTCCGTTTCAACGGTCCTGGTAGGTGGTGAACACCTTGCTGGAGGCGGGCGTGGAGAAAGACGGGGAGACGGATGAGAAGTGGACGCCGCTGCATGCGGCCGCGGTGAAGGGCAACACGGCACCGATGATCTCATGGATATTTCATGGTGGTGATTCAACGATGGGAAAATGGTGATTTCATGGGATTTTTCGCGTATGTTTGAGGGATCTATATGGGAATGGTGATTTAATGGTGATTTATGGTGGTGATTATGTTTCATGGATTTTTCGTGGTGAGAAATAATGCTGATTTCATGGGCGATTTCCTGAAGCAAATCTAAGGAAAGTTGGAAGTGGTGCGATTACTGCAGGCCGTGGATGGCCGTGGATGGTGGATGTGGATTTTTACTGGGATTTACCACCGGCTTCTATGATTTTATATGATGATATTTGTACTTGGATGGATGGATGGATGGATGGATGGAAAGTATCCCATTGATATCATCCCATTGACTATCCCATTAACTATTTATAAACTAACATAGCTATTGAAAATGGCCATTTATAGTGGATTTACCCATTAAAAATGATGATTTTCCATAGTTATGTATGTTCCCATCTGCTTTGAATATGTCACGAATTTCATATACCATGAACTATATACCATGATATACCCTAATGAGCTTTTGGAACCTGTGGGAAAAATGGGGATGGTTTTTGGCAGTGGTTTACCCACATTATATAGCTATAGACTATAGATATATCATGATACCATAAACCATAAACCATAGTTATTGATCATGATTGATCTAGTTATATCTAGTTGTCAACTACGGATTTGGTCTTGTTTTACTACTATATATGATTTACTACTAATATCAACTACTGATTTACTATAATAGAAACTACTCATATCAACTGTTAATATCAACTATTCACCCATTAATATCAATATTATATATAATATTAGTCAATTAATATATATATATATTGATCATCAATTAATATATATATAATATTATTATATTGATGTATATTGATATACTAACCTTGCATGGCCGCGCCTTTGATTTTTTTCATATATGCAGTAATCTAGTATATCCACCGATTTTCGCCAGGCCGCTGGCTTCACCTTAGACTCCCAGACCCGGACGCTCTCTACGCCGCTGCATCTGGCGGTGCAATCTGCACACCTCGAGGCCACGACACAAAACGAGGGTAACGGGGTGGGGCCGGGGTCCGCGACGTGGGTGTACCTAGGGAAAATGGTGATTTCACCATGGAAAATGATGATTTCATGGGATTTTATAGGTGTTATATATGGGATTTATGGGATGTCATTGAATTCCATTCAGTCACCATAAACCCTAGTTAATTATGGTTCGTCTAGTTGAATCACCCTATATATATATATATGCTATATATTTGATGGGCCCATACCATATCTAATATTGATACGATATATATATATATACATACGTAACAGATTGTTAAATTGTCCAATTAATCACTGTTATTAATCCTGCGATCTATTTGGTATTAGCCATTATTAATATCAATAGTTATTTCATATCATCCCATCTCCAATGTTTTTAGCCATCCCCTCTGCTAAATTAACAGTTCGACCCTGAAAAAATCACACATTCTTAGTGGAAACTGGGGCATTTTCCATCTCCAACTCATGGCAGGGGCGGAACATGTTAATTTACTGGAGGGTAACTGGTGATGATCTATCAACTGATGATTATCCAGTTGTCAACTGATGATACCCTCTGGTAATTTAACATAGCTACTGAAAATGGCAATGTTTAATGGGAAAATCAACTATTTCTATGGCAATTTTCAATAGCTATGTTAAATTACCAGAGGGTATCAATCTAGTGATTTAGTCTCATCCCATCTCTATCTTGAAAAGTCACGGTCAAAAATCGCAGAGGTTGACCCATTTCAACCATCACCCATGAGTGGTTTCACATCCACCCATTTGATATCCCCATCCGGGCCATCCGGGCCGGCATCGCTATCCCCATCCGGTGATCGCTGCTCAGGTGGCGCGGTTCCTGGTGGAGGCCAAGTCAGATTTGGAGCTGCCAGACCAGAACGGCAACACGCCGCTGCACCTGGCTGCCGAGGGGAACTTTAGCGCAGCCTGTGGGTGCGGCGTTGGGGGTTGGAGGGTTGGAGGGTTCGAGGGGTGACTTTTGATGGGATTTTAGGTTGATTTCATCTGGAGTTTGGAGGATTTTGAAGATTTCCTGGAATTTTCATGGACTTGAATAGGATTTGATGACATTGAATCGGATCACTCAAGGGGATTTAATGGTGACTTGCTGCGATTTCATGGAGATGTTGGATGATTTGGGATAATTTTTTGAGGGATGTGTTGATTGTTTTGGAGGATGTTGGTTGATGTTTTGAGGATTTGGAATGATTGTCGGATTCTGTTTGATGATGTGTTACGATTGTTTTATTGGTAAATAATGGATAATAATGATCGACAATGGTTCATAGTGGTTGATGATCGTGAGCAATGGTTACTGTAGGGTAACAATGATGATGTTGGTGCTGTATTGTTGGCAATTATCATCAACCCAAGTTTGAGCCAGTATTAATTGTTATTAACCCAAGTATGAACCATGATTAATCACTATTAATCGCTGTAATACCCACACTTCAACAATCATCCAAGGTCAATAGAAGGTCAATAGGTACTTGTAATGGTTAATAATGATGATGCTACCCCTAAGCTTTACTGGCATCATGATTAGTTGGTTAGTATGGTTAGTGGTAATGGTTAAGTAAATCCAGTTAACTTACCATAGGGACCGAACTATGACAGTTATTACTATAAAAGTATATTACGGTTATTATTGTAGAGTTAAACTGTAATACTTACAGTACTATAAAAGTATAGTTGGTCCTATAGTTCGTTAACCAACTTTCTAATCTGGTTGGTGGTTTGGAACATTTGGATGATTTTCCATATATTGGGAATTTCATCATCTCAACTGACTTTCATATTTTTCAGAGGGGTAGGTATACCACCAACTTACTAATTATACCCAGCACTTTTTGTTATTCCGATCCATCAGCCATTTCTTCAACGCAGGTTCTTAGCCTCTGCTCGAGCACCGTTGGATGTGACCAACAACGAGGCCTGGATCAGCCCTGACAGGTTCAAAACTGAAGACCCAACGCATTGGGGGTGCAGAAAATGGTGATTTCACTAGGGAAATGGTGAGTCTAGGATGGAAAATGTTGATTTCACTAGGGAAAATTGTGGTTTTACTAGGGGAAATTGCGATTTTGCTTTCGAACATGATGATTTAATTAGGGAAAATATGGTGATTTGATGTGATTTCATGGGGTATAGCCTAGTGGTGATGTTTTTTGATATAGAACCTACTTGGGGCTGGAGATGGAAAGAACGGATATACCTATGGGATCCCAGGGGAATTAAACCCCTAAAAGTTGGGAAATCCATATGAAATCCCATTACACATCCATGAAATCCATGCTGAAATCCCATTACACACCCATCAAATCTCCATAAATACCCGTCAAATGCCATGGCTCGACTAGATATCCATCAAGTTTCATCAAATCCAAAGAAAAAATGCCCATCAAATCCTCATTAGAACCATTACATAAAACAAATAGCCATATGAGCGGGTCTGAAAATCAAGAAAACCCACAAAAGGCCATTTGGATCGAATAATGACAACAGTTGGGATTTAGGGGTACCATATTTCAAACCCAGGCTGTGACTCTTTCACTCCCAGGCCTGAGTCGAAATAAGCATCTCCGTGATCTCGGCAAAATTCGCCATGAACCCAAGTAGATTTTAAATCATCAGAGGGGTCAGATTTCCTAATATCACCATTTTCCATAGTAAAATCACCGTATTCCCTGGTAATATCACCATTTTCCATAGTCAAACCACCATTTTCCATAATTTTCCATAGTAAAATCGCCATTTTCCAATGGTTCTACCTTCGACATCTCGCAGCCAGGGCTGTACGCCCTTGCAGCTGGCTACGCGCGGCAACTGCACTGAAGCAGCCAATGTCTTGATCGAGGCTCTGGGCATTTCATCGGGATTTTACGATGAATTTATTGGGAATTTTGTGGTGATTTAGGGAATTGATTGTGATTTCAGAGTGATTTGATGGAGATTTAGAGTTTTTTGAGTGATTCTAGAGTGATTTGATGAGGATGTTATTGGGATTTTGGTGATTTCATTGGGAATTTATTTAGTGTTTTTAGGGGATTTCATGGGGATTACATGGGATTTATTGGGATTTAGTGAAATCTTTGAATTTTGAGTAGCGGCTGCGTTCGACGCCCCCGTTGTTTGATGATTAGTTATGGGGGATTGTTTACCAAGGATTTGATTAATAGAGTCTTGTGGGGATTTAAATGAATATTTAAACCATCAACAATAATGATTATATGGAGATTTAAATGGATATAATTGATAGATGATGGTTGATTGATGATTAGTTGGGGAAGTATACTAACCAATATGTTGCGGAAAAGCACAATCGCAGGGAATCCCGTTCTCAACCAGCCGGTATAAAGGAACAACAAAGGGATATCAATTCGCTGCTGAATTGGGAGATCCGATTGTAGGAATAATGGTCTAAGATTGGCCATGAACGATTAAGCAGTAAAACTGAGACAACTTGGGAGTTGAACAAATAAAAGATCGCAGATTTTGTCGTTTAGTCGCAGTATTAGTAGTTAAGGACTCATTTTGAATGGGGCAACAGTTGGAAAAAAACGGGTGCGTTGAGCGAAAAGAATCCGGAGTTCGTCAACGACGATGGGGATCTTTTCAAAAGTAGGGGTTGGACCAGTAAGAAGTGGACTTCAGTGAAACTGGGAATCACAATCGACCTGTTTGAACCAGCGAAATGGGTGGGTTTCTTAAAATGGGGGGATCCCAAAAAAACCATAGGTTTCAGTACTAAAATGGTCTAATGTTGGATGGTTTCGGGGTACCTCTATTCTAGGAACCCACAATTGGAGGGTTAAGTTAATCAGCCAACAAAAATAACATGTTGCTCTCTCTCCCCCTCTTTGCTTGTCGTTCATCGACACGGCCCATCATTAAGGAGATCAAATTGGTACGTATTCTGGGTGCCCGATGCCGCTTTGGCAACCTGAGTATGATAGGCAGATGTGGTTCCGCCTTAATTGTCCTGAGCCCGCAAAGTGAGGGGCTGGTTTCAGATGAAATTAGGTCTTACACAGCCCCACACACTGACATAGACAAAGATATGGAGCTTTCCCAAGGCATGGGGGTATCCCCACATCATCCAAGTCATGACCATGACTTAGTATTTTTCAACCTATGGTAACGACTGGGGATCATGACTTAAGAAAGCCCCATGACATCAGAGCATCCATGGTTTCAAACACTGAAGCTGTGGAAGACCCCGGCACGGCGGCACGGGCGAGGCGAAGGGTGAAACGAAAGCCGTGGACATGGCCTTGCGCTTTCCGTGGCGGGCTGAGAACTGGGGAGGGACTGCGATTGCGACAGGAAGCTGAGGGCGAAGTTGAAGAAAAATGGTGGAACTAACCGGGGAAAACGGTGATTTGATGGGATATAGTGGGGAGCGACCCTGGGGTAAACTGCCATGTGGAGGACCCATGGTTTCGATGAAGCCGGCTGTTTTTGTTACGTGACTATACTCAATCAATGTCCATCAATGGGGATACCCCAATAGCTGGATGGTTTATCATGGAAAAAACCTCCGAAAAAAATGGATTTCGGGGTGCCCCTATGGCTATGGAAACCTCCATATCTACGAGAGGTGAATGATACTGGCAATTCGAAAGATCTGCAGGGGTTCATCCCAATGTCTTAACATCTCCCGGAAAATTCCGGGATGGTCTTCCTGATGGTCTTCCACCCCGGTGTCGACTGGGTCTTCCCATTGCAGCTATCACTGAGTTGTGACCATCAGATTTTTCATAATTCATCCCGTTAAATCACTGGTTGGTTAAACCACGTCACCTGGAGTTCCGTGATGACTTGAGTAGGAAAGTCAAGGGATTTATCGGATAATCATCCATGGCTGCCATACATTGCGGCAAGTTGGTTGGAAATCCTCTTCGACAAAGCCCAAATCCAATCCCCGAAAGTCTCTGGTATCCCAAAAAAGCTCAAGATGTTGTGAAGCCAAAGTTAGGTTAGTTGCATCTCCACCTGATATCACCATTATATTATATCCCTATATCCAAAAAAAAACATATCACCATGATTTATATCCTCTATGATCTTCCCATGATTTTCCCACAGCTTTGCTTTAAAAGTCTTCCCTCTTGCCAAACTCAGGGAGATGCTTGAAACCTTGATCTGGGTGGGCGTGGATCGCGAGAAAGCCAAAGAGCGCAAGCTGCAACCGGTGCACATTGCGGCGGCCAATGGACACAGCGACACCTGTTCGGATGTCGTGGGATTTTCATGGGCAAAAATGATCATGTAATGATGGTTTAGTGGGAGTTTATGGGATTTCAATCAGATTTCATGTGGATTTCAATGGGAATAAACTGTTTTCCCCATCATAAGTGGTGATTTACTGCGATGTTTCATGGGATTGAATGAGGTGATTTCGTGGGGATGATGACTTGGGGATGGTTTGGGTTGAAGGTGTACCACCTGAAAACCAGATTGGTGACATGGGAATTTCATGCAGTTATGGCCATTTATGAATATAATGTATGTATATCTGGTTATTTCTATGGGATTGTCAAATTCTACAAATGGGGTTATAAGTACTTAGAACTGGTATTTCGGGCCATAACTGTGGGGGTTGGGGTAGAATGGGGGTTTGAAAATCCAGACTAGAATCCTGGCTCTGCGGAAGCCGTCGGTAATGTGTTTTTTGCATTTTCCTGGAAATCAGGAATGGAGGATCGAGTAAGGGTTGTACTGCAATACTACACCATCCCCAAAATCGCCATTTTTATGGGTGGTTTTTGAACCATCAAATCCAAAGGGGGTGATTTATGACATTGCTTTTACCAACATTAAATCCCATTAAACCCATGAACTGACATTAAATCCCGTTAACTCCCATTAAATCTGGCTGGTTAATCCCATTAAAAACCTCAGGATGTTTGATTTTGGGGGGCCGACGCCAAGGAACTCATGAAGTTTCTTCTGGCAGTGCCTTGGCAAATTCGCGATGCCGCGGAGTAAGCAGAGTCGTTCAAAAGAAAGTTAATGAAATATCAATGGAATTTTCATGGAATATGAATGTAGCATTGATGGAATATCCCTCAGGTTTACCATAGTGGATGTAGGGATCATAGAACGCCAAGTGTGTTTTTCAGGGCTTAGGGGGATGGAAAAAAATTGAATAATCCTGAGGTTTTTAATGGGATTAACCAACCAGATTTAATGGGACTTAGTGGGGGTTTAATGGGAGTTAATGGGACTTAATGGGGTTGAATGGGACTTAATGGGGCTTAATGGGGTAAGCCAAGATTGGAAGGCCTTCCTGTTCGACAAAGTCGTATAGATCCCCGTGCTATTGCCCTAACCTTGATGGCACTTCAGCTAGTCATTGGCGACTTGGTTTCCTTTGATGCTCCTATTTGCTGGCAATAGATTTCACAGATCCTAGTTTCAGGATGTTTCATGTATCATCCTTGCACGTTGATGCCGGAAACAAAATTGATTGGTGGTTTCACATATGTGTTTTACATGTTCACCATAGAAATGGGATGATGACGGGCAAACATGATAATGCAATGATGGTTTAATCGAAGTTAATGGGCTTTCATTGGGATTTCAATGGTGATAAGATTTTTCCCATCAGAAATGGTGATGTGGGGATTTCAATGGTGATAACCTGAAAAAGATGATGTCAGCAACAGGACTTGGTGATTGTTGGAGATTTTTTTTGGGCCAAACATGGAGATTGGAGATTTTCGTTGATGAACTGAAGTTCATGGAGACTTAGTAGTAAAGAGTCTAAAGTTGGGATTTCAGCTGGAAAAAATCAAAAACCAAGAGGGGTTTTGGTCGGTGCAAATGTTTTTTTTTTCAGAAAGATACGTTTTGACTTCGCCAGTAAAAGGTGGGATCACTCGCTGCGAGTTGAGCCCCGAAAGATCAGAAAGTGATGCTCGAGATCGGCATTGATTACTGCTGGTTGGTGGTGACTGGAACCACGGAATTTTATGAATTTCCATTCAGTTGGGAAGAATCATCCCATTTGACTCATATTTTTCAGAGGGGTTGGTTGAAACCACCAACCAGATATATATATATATATACCCTCTGGTAATTTAACATAGCTATGGAAAATCACCATTTTTAATAGGTAAATCAACTATTTCTATCCCATTAAAATACCATGTTTCCTTCCCAGTTTTGCTGCTGAACTCCAATTTCTTCAGGAGAAAGCCTCCGTGAATCTGGCTTCCAAAAACGGTGCCACGCCGCTGTTTCTGGCCGCGGCCTGGCAACGCGACGAATGCCTCTGCTGCATCTTGCAAGCGCGGGGCGAGGTGGGGTGCGTGAACTCGGAAGGCAGTTGGGATGACTTTCAATATGTGGGAATATGTCAATTCCATATAATGGTCAGTGGGTATCAAAATGGTAGGGAGTATTAGGGACTAGCCATCAACATTTTGTGTTTTTTTTGATGGAAATGTGAGTATAGTTGGGTTCATTAATGGGTGCCACCATCAACACTTTATGGAAATTTTATACATCATTTTCAGACACCATTTTCAGACACGCCTATGTGGGTACCATTTGGGCTTGTTCATGGAAATATAGTTATATAGGGTTCTTAATGGCTATTAATGATCTAGCCATCAACACGTTATGGGTTTTTTTTGATGGAATTTGATGGGATTTAATGGGAATATTATGGGACTTTAATGGGATATTGATGGGTCAACAAAAATGGTGATGTCCTATCATTTATCTAGAGGAAAGTATGGGAAAATGGTGATAACAGTTGGGTTGAATGGGTGTAACGGTATAGCTATAGTTATTAATAGTTATGAATGGGTCTACACCATTTTCAGACACACCTATCTGGGTACAGTTGGGCTTATTCATGGATAGAATTATAGTCATGTAGGGTTCTTAATGTTGATTACCCTCTGGTAATTTAATATAGCTATTGAAAATGGCCATAGAAATCGTGGATCTTCCCATTAAAAATGGTGGATCTTTCCATTGCTATGTTAGTTTACCAGAGGGTATGGCTATTGATGATTATTACCTGGTGATTGAACTAGGGGAGTTCGTGGGATTTAGTGGGAGGTGTGATTCTAACTGGGATGTTTTTCAGGGATCAGATAATGAATGGGGTATCAACTGGGTCAACCGACTGGTTAGATACTAACTTGTACTTTAATGATTTGCCATCAATGGTAACATGTGCTAACCAGCTAAAAAAAAATGGATATGTATGGAATTTAACGTTTAGATGACTTCAGTTCATGGTAAGATTGTGAAAATTGTAGGAACTATTAGGGACTAACCATCAACATGTTATGGGATTGCTTGTGGAATTTGATTGGATTTAATGGGAATATTATGGGACTTTAATGGGATATGAAAATCGGACTTAACCAACAAAACTATACAAAAATGGTGATGTCCTATCGTTTATCTAGAGGAAAATATGGGAAAGTGACGTGATGTGGGAAAGTTGTGATGTGGAAACCCCAACTGAGGCAGTGATCCACATGGGTAAGTTGTAACCGATGTTCGCAGCAACAAGTTTTCCACCAGCCAGCTGTGATTTTCCGAGGGTCGTGCGTTTGGGATGATATCTTCAGCACTTTTTCGGTGCCTACTTGGAAGTGCAGTTCCAGTTATAAGTGGATGTGTATGTATGTATATATATATATGTATATATATATATATACACCTTCTGGTAAACTAACATAGCTATGGAAAATACCATCTGGTTGGTGGTTTGGAACATGACTGGATTATGACTTTCCATTCAGTTGGGAATGTCATCATCCCAACTGACGAACTCCATCATTTTTCAGAGGGGTAGGTATACCACCAACCAGATGAGTATATACATCTATATATATATGTGTGTATAACCTCAGTTGCAGGGATTATCTCCCAACTTCTGGAGGGCTAAATTACCCATTTTTTCACCTCAACTGCATCCCGAAATGGTGATATATCCCATGTTCCCCTTATAATTATTCCCATTTAATCCCATAAAAATCCGATTAAATCCTACTAAATCCCATTAACTCCTATTAAATCCCTAGTGAAATCCCATTTTTATCGCAAAAAAAAAAACATGTTAAAAAAAAAACATAGAAATCCTATGAATTCACCATGGCAGTCGACCTTTCAGGTGAATGCCGTAGAAAGCAATGGATGGACACCGCTCCATGTGGCCGTCCGCCGCGAGTTCGTGCCCATCATCCGCTGCTCGGCAAAACGGATGTTTGAGGCATGTGGATGGATGTGTTTGTGCAGACATATTATGATGAGTTATTCATATGTATACATTGTGTTTCTGTGAATGTCTTATATTATCTGGATATACAGTATACATACATTACATATATATATATGTACAGCGGCCACATCGAAAGATTCCCTGTGCCAGCAAAAAAAACTGAGGCTACTTGTTGAATGCCAGGGCTGATGCCAATATCGCCGATCGCATCTGGGCCCGGTGATTTACTGTTGGAAAAAACGACCGGTTGAATGCGGAAAATTGGAAGTTGTGAGGGCTGATTTGTGGTGATTTCTGGTGATTTGTGGTGATTTATGTCCCTAATTACGGGTAATTTATGATTTTGAACGGGGGTTGTTGGTTCCTGAGGAAACCCCAGTAGCACCTGTTGTCACCGTCAAGCTGTGCAAACCAGGAGTTGACCCCATGTTTCACCTTCATGTCTAGTTTGAATCCAATATTCAATGGATTAAGGAAAAAAAATACAGGGTTTCAGGTTAAGATGTTCCCTTAAACAAATCCATTGACATATGTGTTTGTAAATCTTCCTATTTTCTGTGCCAATCCTCATTTTATCACATGACACTTCCATATATTATGTTCCTATATTGGGTAGTTAAGTCACTATTCTCCAGGGGGTCAAAAAAACACACTTTGTTTGCTCAGCATTTTTCACTCTGGTTCCAGATGATTGATGATCCTCCAAGTGCCTTATAGAGACATCGCAGGTAAACAAAGGGCTCCCCTTTACTTCGCTTCCTTCCTCGGTAACTTGCGTGTGGTGCGGCGCCTCGCCTGCTTGATTTGTGATGTGGCTGGTCAGGAGTTGTACTACTGGGATCGACTGATGATGAACTAGATATAACTAACCCATACAACTAAGCCATAGTATTGGGAAAGTCAATTGGTGATTTTGCCACTGCTTGATGGTTTTTGACCATCAAACAGTGGTTTTTATCCACCAAACATGGGGATATGGTTGATAACTGACTTTTGGTAGATGATTATAGGAAGTTCCAGTACATGGAATATAGGTGATCATGAACTAACCCATATGATTGGGACACCTATCAACCAACAAATAGAATGAGATGGGATAGGGGTAGTCTGAATGGCTCATATGTCCCTTTTTATTTGTTTATGGGACATGTCTCCCCATCAACGGCGTTTGAATGTTGGTGACTTGGTGACGATGCGCCATGCTTCGTTTCATGTTTGGTTTTCATCGTTTCCCGAAATCCTGGGTCACCTTGGATGCTGGAGGGCCTAATGATGAGCCAGTTTGTTATTCATCTACCCTCTAGTAAACAAACATAGCTATTGGAAATTGTCATTTATAGTGGATTTACCCATTGAAAATGGGTGGATGTTCCATAGTTATGTTAGTTTGTTATTCATCTAACCTGATAAAAACATCTTTTTATATCTGAGTTTGACCCTGAAATGTACCCCAAAATTGCCATCTTAAACCATCTGTCCATAGCGCAATGGATTGGTGACAAAGCCATAGAGTATGGTTTGCGAAGGTGAACCCCTTGAGGCCACGGATTTTTTGATGATCCCACAAAACCAGCAGAAAATCCACGGATTTTTTGCGCTGCCGTGTTCGTCCCATGAAAAGATAAGATATTCCTGAAGTGTCCCTTGAACCAATGATAATCAGAAAGAAAATCGATGAAAACCTTCGCAGATGAGCACCAGTTCTGAACATTAAACCTCCCACTAGTTGGGTTTACCCAGCAAAGAAACAATGATTGTTGGTTAAAATCCAACAGTGCGATAGTCCAAAATTCCAAAAGCCAGTCGTTTTACTCGTGATTCCCTTATCAACACCAGTCAAATCACAAATTTGGGCGGTTATAAACTCCAATTCGTTGAATCACAGTTTTGTTTGTTGCATTATCATGTTTGTTTAAGCTTAAATCCTCAAAATCCTCTTTTGTTGTCAAATCACGGATTGTTCCATGTTTATTTGTTACATTCAATGTGTTGCAGGTTAAATCTAGAATTCTAGTGCTTGAATCCAGATGCTTATTGGTGAAGATCCATTTCCTGGTAAAAGCCAGGTCTTTATGTGGTAAATCTTATTCAATCCTCATGTTTCAAAGTTAAATCCAGATTTCTTGTGAGAAATGCCTATGTTTATTGATTAAATCAGTTAGATGATCCCATTTACATACCAATTCTTATTGGTTGTTATAGTAGTTAACTCCCAATGTTTAGTAGATATGTCCAATCAAACCCTTTGTTTGTTGGCGAGTTCCCATTTACACATTCAATTATCTTAGTGCTCCCCCCTATATTCCAAGCTACATCCCAAGTTTTTCACAGACCCTCCTGTAAACATTGCCATGGATGTGGTTGTCACCCACCAGCTCATTTTCCGAACCGGTTTCCCCATGGCGTTTTCCACATCTCTGTTAGTTCCAACTAAAAGTTGCAATATACCCGTAATCATACCGGTGATATTCCAACTTATGGAGGTTCTCACCATGGTTACATCACCAACTATGGACACGTTTACCTCATATGGGTCAACCTATCATACTACATCGGATAACCATCCATTTACCATCATATACCAGCTATTTTGAGGTCCACCGAGGGATTCAATGGATTTCGATTCATACCATTTGTTCCATCCATTTTTTAGGATAGTAAGTTTACCAGCGATATCATTAGCCTTAAGTTAGCCATCCATGAAAGTTAACCATCCATGTCCTTTACAGCTCATAGCCATCCCATTAAAATCCCATTAAAATCCCACTTAAGTTACATCCTAAGGTGTTCATCATAAATAGTAACCAAAAAAAGCAAGTGACCTTAAAGTAAGTGGTTGATCATTTGCCTCAAGTTAACCAGTTTGATAACCATAGTAAGTTTCACCACATCAAACATCGCCACCAAGAATCCATTGTTTGATTATGTTTTTGATCCGTTTTAGATCCCATAGATATATATAATATATTCAATTTATATCCCATTATCTATCCCATTATATATCCTGTTGATACACCATATTATGAAATTTTCCCATAGGTATACAAATATGTTAGCATGGCCATGTTAAATGGTATGTTTTCTGCATCTTTATGGGAAAATAGCAAAAAAAAAACGATATTTCCCCATAGACTTTCTCATCCCAAAAAAACTATCCCATTTGATATGCCATTATCTATCCCATTATCTAACCCATAGATATATCCCATTTATATATATATATGTGTGTGTGTGTGTCCCATAGATACGTTAAATATGACCATCTTTACCCTCTGGTAAACAAACAGTTTGCTATTGAAAATGGCCATAGAAATAGTGGATTTATCCATTAAAAAATGGTGGATCTTTCCAGTTCGTTATGTGAAAGTTGACCAGGCCGGGTACATGAAAAACAGCAAAAAATCATGTTGCAAGTCTATAACTCAATGATAAACTCCAACAACACGTCCCATTCAATTCAGGTCCAATATCCCATAGATATATAGAAAATAGTGGATTTATCCCATAGAAAAATGGTGGATCTTTCCATAGTTCTTTGTATGTTTACCAGAGTATAATCCCAATATTCACATGATTATCCCATGATTATCCCAATTAATCCATATGCTTCATAATCCCATGATTGTCCCATAGTTATGTTCCATAATTATAGTTACCAACAGAATCAATAGAATCCATCATAGATAATCATCCAAAGAATCCAAAGATAATGGATTTTCCCATTAAACAGCTGTGATTTTCCATCGTTTTTTGTATGTTCCATTGTATGTTCACCATGCCGGGTAGCCCTTCTCCGGGTGTCCCGTCCGTGTGTCCCGTCAGGATGTTGGTCCTGAGCCGTGCCTCGGTGGACGTCACGGAGCGCCGGAAGTGGACGCCGCTGCATACGGCGATCCAGCAGGGCTTCATCGAGGCCGGGAAAACGACGACTTGAAACGGGGAAAATGGGGAAAATGGAGGTTTTAATGGGAAAACCATAGGAAAACCATAGGAAAATGGAGGTTTAGGGGTTTCCCATTGAGATCATTAAAACCTTAATAATCCCATTAAAATCCCATAATAATCCCAAAAACAACCCAAATATATCCTATAATCATCCCATTTACCCTCTGGTAAACTTTCACATAACGAACTGGAAAGATCCACCATTTTTCATGGGAAAACTCACTATTTCTATGGCCATTTTCAATAGCTATGTTAGTTTACCGGAGGGTATGGCATTGGTTTACCCACATTATATATCATTATATAACTACAGAAAACTATAGATATAGGCTAACATCTCCATTGGTTTATGGTCAATTAAAAAAAACATTGCTTATTGGGATATACCATTGGATATACACCATTATATATATATACTGATAACCAATAACCAAACGTTATGTTTGTTGGTTTATGGGGCCCCATCTAAATAGAATGTTATTGCGTATCATACACTATTGGTATTACAGTTATGTTCACCAACTTTGCTAACGAACTGGGGGCCCATCCTGTGATTTACTGGGATTTTAGTAGAATTCAATCGTAGTTCATGGGATTTATTGGATTTCACAAGGAGAATGAGGAATTGAACTAGGGAGTCAATGGGATTTAGGAGGATTTAAAGGGTGCTAATGAAAGTTTTCATGGGTTTGAACTATGGATTTCATGGGATTTCATTGGGTTTTAAGGGGATTTGGCATGATTTCACCACATGGAACATGATGATATCATTGGGATTTCATGGAATGCAACGCAGCGATTGGAGCGGACCAGAGGGGAAACAGGATTTCGCGACATGTCAAAACTCTATACGATATGGTGAATAACCTGATATGCTTCATCATTGCCGTAATTGTAGCTTATAATGATACCCTCTGGTAAACTTTCACATAACTATAGAAAATCACCATTTTCAATGGGAAAATCCACTATTTCTATGGTGATTTTCAATAGCTATTTTGACATAACCAGAGGGTAATTATGATAGGTATAGGCTGGTAGAACTGATCGTTGATCCCATAGGCTTGGCACCAGCTTAACTACAGAAATGAAAGAATCAGAGCTGCAAATTGGACTGACATTCCTATGGTTTATGGTAGATATAACTATAGTATTCATGGGGGTTATTGCATGGTTTATAAACCAACATTCACATCACTGGGGGGATTCCAATCAACAGTTCACTCTTCAGAACTACTTGGTGAAAAGTGCAGATCCAATCGAGGACTTTGTGGATAGATCCCTGATCAACCCCCAATTTCTGGCATGTTGGGGAAAAACTGATGATCAACCATTGGATGGAATGGGGGAATTAGACAAGTTTCAGACAATTCCATAGTTCATAATGTTCCCAGTGCATACCCTCTGGTAATTTAACATAGCTATTGAAAATGACCATATATAGTGGATTTTCCCATTAAGAATGGTGATTTTCCATAGCTATGTTAAATTATCAGAGGGTAATTTACCATGATATCATATCTCATGATGTACTGATATCATATCTCATGATTAAATCCATGTTCTTTCATAATGTCATTGTACATCATTATATCCCAACATTATCCATTTTCCCAAGATATCCCCATAGTATCTGGGTCGACCTTGGACGGGTAATTGACTCCTTGAATCTTTTGCTATTGGAAACTGGGAATATCTATTCTAATATCTATAGCAAAACATCTATCTATAAATAGATATAGAATAGACTGATAGATAAATAGACCAACCCGCAAAGAATTTTTCATTTTTTGGCAGCGTATCCAAGATTGGCAATGATTTAATTACTTAAATCCTCAAATTTTGTTGCTTAGTCTCTCATTTTGCTGATGAAATCCTCTCCATGTTTGTTGGCAGAACCCCAAGTTGGTATTGTGGTGATGTCCATAAAAAAAGGATTCCAAGTTGGGAAATACTATAGTATAGTCTTAGTACAGGATGGTGCCCCCCAATTATAAGTTGGTTTGCAAACCCCATTAGCTAGTTCGTTATATCTACCATAAACCATAGAATTCAGCCACTTATTCAACATAATATCCAAAAAAAAACATAGTTATATATTCAATTATATTCCATAAAATCCCATAAATATCCCATTAATATCTATTTCCCCCTGGTATTGTGGCGATTTTCCCATGTCCATCCCCTCAAAAAAAGGGATGCGGGACTTCACATGCTCGTGCCACGTCAGGTGGCGAAGAGTCTGATGGACGCCTTGGCAGACCTCAATTTGCTCCTTGGACGGATGTTTTGAAGGGGAAATCTTTGGGAAATATGGGAAATATGGTAAAAGCCTCCATAAATGGAGGCTTGAATGCGGATATACGAATACACATAATATGTGTATGTATATATATATATATTTATATAAGCCATTTATAAGTCTATATTCACCATACTATTATCATTAATAGAATCGCAGGGATTCCTACCAATAAATGGAGGTTGGGGTAGGAAAATCATCTGGAAATGGGAAGTCATCTATTGCTGAGTAGAATTGGTGGGGTTCGAATATCACCCATTAATCCCATTAGATGGGTGATACTAATTCTGGGGATTACTCCCATTGAATTCATAATTGGGGGTCAGAATAAAGGTCGCTTTTGGATATGAACACGTTGTTAAGAAATTATTGGTGATGAAGAATATAACTATGTTTCAAATACGAGCCTCTAATTATTCATAACTTCTGTCACACCTCTCAGTGTGTGAAAATCAATAAATCAAGTGGCACTCAGCATTTATTCTTCGTTGAGAAACTTGTATCTCACTAGTCCACATTTATTCTCTCAGTTTGGGAAATCCACGACGACTGGTGAATCGATGAAGGGAATATCTTTGATTTGCTGGTTCCTTAAGCAACTCCAAAAAAAACAGCGCAGAATCAACAAAAAATTAACCAGGTAGGTTGCTAAATTATAAGCCATGCCGTTTCACCATCCATTCACTGTCCATATTCATATCCCTATATAATATATACCAAATGTTGCAACCACATATATATATATATATGGCTAAGGATGGGTATTGGGCGTAAGCAAAATATACATACATAATAGTGTGTATATATACATAATAAGCAATCAGAAATCATCGAAAAGGACTCTCTGTGAGTTGTATAGGTTTACTCATTCATGTCATGTCATGTCCTGCAAATGTACATTTCCATTTTGCCTTTGCCGGTGACTTTACTTTGGCTCAAGAAATGCTCGAAAAGGTTCTTGCATTGAGCGGCTGCTGTTGGGGTTGTCAGTAGCTCGCTTTACTTAATCCATTATATATGAACCAGGCTGAGCTAATCTATGATTCACGATATATTCACCATGCGTCTATCAATCATATGTATGTATACATACATATACATGTACATGTACATATGCATATACTATACATACATATACGTATATGTATACATTTACATTTACAAATACATAAACATATACGTATACGTATACATACTTATACGTATACATTTACATATACGTATACGTATACGTATACGTATACGTATATGTATGGATATGCATATTTATGCATATGCATATGCATATGCAACATACATACATACATACATGCATGCATACATACATATATATATATATACACCATAGATATATTCACCCACACATACCATAGATTTAACATATACATATTTGTATATATATATATATTATTTATGAACCATTCCGTTTCACCATTGATTCACCATAGATTCACTACTACATCTATACACTAATCATATACAAAGCGTAAATTCATCATTGATTCACCATAGATTTACCATATATTAACCATAGATTCACTCAGTTCACCAAAGGTTCACCATTTGATGGATAAATTAACCATCTTAAAATCCATAAGTTCCAACCCCCCAGGACCACCTCGTTGGGTTCCACTGCGCTGACCCTGGCCACGCTGCAACGCGACGACCGGGCCTTGGAGCTGCTGCTGCAGAATGCAGCGGATCCCAACGTGGCGGCAGGGGAAGGCGGATTTCTCTGGAAGATGGGGATGGAATTCTTATGATTTTTACTGGTTGGTGGTTTGGAACATGAAGAATCATCCCAACTGACTTTCATATTTTCAGAGGGATTGGAACCACCAACCAGTAATGTTAAATATACAATATGGTTATGATACGTTTTTAATGTTGATCATCTAACTTTAATCATGGACAAAATCTATGATAATCTGTAATGACCTATAATGGTGATAGTGGTGATATTAAAATAATGGTGTGAATAGTAGGGGATATTAATGGAATTGAAGCTATAGATGATATGGTTATGATGTTTTTTTAATGTTGATTATATCTATAATTTATAATCTGCAGTATATAGATGGGGATAAAAATGTCTATGGTTTTAAGGGAATATTCATTGATTTTAACTATACAGTATATGGTTTGAACATATGGATATATCGATATTGGTTGGATATTCACATGTGTGTGTGCGTATAAATCTATATATGTGTATATAGGGGATTTAATATACTCTTAGTATACTTTTATAATAGATGATGTCTATAATCCATAAATGTGTACATCGGTACATCCATGCGTTTACTTTTTTAATCCCCCATGTATTCCAATCAAAAAGTTGTTTGAAGTCCAATTTTTTACTGCCCCCCAGTGATCAAAGGTGGCAATGAAAAATCATCCCAGATTGTTTCGGTGGTTTTCACATTGAAACCTTCATTTATATGGGATTTTCCATTCCCAGATTTGATGACACCGGAGGGTATATTCCCATTATATCCCAATTATTGTCCCATTATTATCCATAATTACTGTATAAAGCCATGAAAATCCCTATAAAACCCATGAAATTCATCCTTTCGGCTGCAAGAATTGTGCTTTGACGCACCAGACATGTCACCTGCAGGCTTAACTCCGCTACATCATGCAGCAGAGCTCGGTCTAGAGACGGTGCCGTGGACGTGATTCAGAACCGTGGAGGGTGATTTCACTGCGTCGACTTGGTTACCCTCTGGTAAATATACAGTTTGCTATTGAAAATGGCCATTTACAGTGAGTTTTCCCATTAAAAATGGTGATTTTCCATTGTTTTTTTGTATGTTTACCGGAGGGTAGATCTGTTGCCATCAATGGTAAAATTAGTGCAATGACCAGATGCCAGGTATCTAAGATTCACCATGATTTAAGCAGCAAAATTGGGGGCTACGCATAGGTTTTAATAGCAAATACGATGAAAACAATTGGACATATTAGATATAACGGTGATCTTCCCTCCAGTAAGTCAACATAGCTATGGAAAACAATGATTTTTGCACGTAAATCATCAGAGTTTAAGGGGACATGTTCAGATGTATGTTAAATTTTCAAATGGTATACAACTGGTGATATCCCATATAAATATATAGATAAATTATAAGACGATTATTACTACTGGGGATATGATGGTTTTCAATCTTGTAAATTGATAATAAATGATTCATACCCCTTCCGGTTGATGGTGATTGCGGAATCATCCGAGCATGACTTCTGCGCAAGGTTTTTTCACCCTGGAATCCAGAATGGCAAGCCATGAAACGTTGAATAACGTTGAGGTGATCAAGATATGCCCGTGGCGGCCATGGAAAAATGTTGGCACGTATACTTATTTATAGCATATATGTATATAACATATGTCTATATGGTATATCATAACCCATTATCACAAGTATCCCAGCATGTTTTTTAACATAGTAATTCTCACCATTAGTCCAATAAAGCATAATGAACCACAACAAGGAGGAACATGACAATTAAAACATAATCATAAACCCCAATGACAGACCATTAACAATCTGTGTTTGTAATATTCCAATAATATTATATAATAGACGTTTATCAATATGAACAATGTCTGAACCATTAACAATAATTATTAGGACAACCCATTACAATGCATGAACCAAAAACAACGGGAAAACATAACAAAACCATCATTTATGAACATAATAAAACATCAAAATCCATTACTATCCAAAAATTGAACCAATCATCATATTATCCAATATTGGACCATGTTGTTCATAAATGGTCCGATGTTTATATTGTATCTTCATTATCCCAATAAATCAATGGATTGGCTTAAGGGAAAAATTACAGGAAAACCCTATATTTAATGGGAAAATCTACCATCTCCTATACATTTTCCCTTAAACCAATCCATTGAATAATATTCAACCTTGCAACCTTTTTATTCATTACAACCTTATTATTCATTACATCCCATTACAATTTACAACGATAAGATTACAATTTATATCCCCATTATCCCAAAACCAACCTCTTCAGCCTATCTTCGGCCTTCAGATGCTCCAACGCCTGCTCCTGGCACGCGCACACGTCGAGAGCCGCACCATGGAAGGTTTGACGCCGATGTACATCGCAGCACAGGAGCGCGCCAGGGCTGGTGGGGGACTTCAATGGCAAGAATGTTATTTACTGGGAAAATCATTGGAAAAATCATAGGAAAATTGAATGGGAAAATCCAGGAAAAATCCACCTTAGTGATCCACCATATGTCAAAAATGGGGACTTTAGCAATTGAAAATCATTGGGCATGTTTGAGAAATCTGTGCTAAAGAGCTGAAATAAAATCAACCTACTCTCCGGTCAACTTGGCAATGGAATATTCTAGCTGGTAAATGGGACATTAATGAGATATTTCATGTGATAAATGGAGGATTTTCATGGGAATCTAGCATCTAGTTCGATGGATTTTCGCGGACGAAACCTCCATTGTTTGATCAGGATTTTCCGGATGAACTGGCAGGATCATCTTCCAAACGGCTCGTGAAAAAGATCGTTTCGTTTTATCGGGGGTATAGCCCATGTATAAATATGGGATAATCCCAGTGCTAATCCGATAATCTGAAATAGTATGGATAATCCCATCCATAAATATTGAGGATTATCCCATATTCCATACTTTCGTTTCAGATAATCCCATTTACAATGGATTATAGTATGGGATAATCCGAGATTTTCCCGGTTTCAATTATCCCATGGATGTTCCGGTTTCAATGGATTGCTTTTGTTGGGACATTTGAAACCGGTTTCACTTCCATATTGAACATGGGGAAATCACCATGGTTTCCTAGACATTTTCCCAAGCATTTTACTGGTCTCAGCCCCTTTTTTCATGGGGGAAATCACCATGGAAAATCCGGTGAAGATTCTTCCAGAGACGGGATGATTCTGAGTGGATTCGGAAAAATTGATTTACCCGGCCTGGTGAACTTTCACAAAAAACGAACTGGAAAGATCCACCATGTTTCATGGGAAAACTCACTATTTCGATTGGGCCATGGCTTCAATAGCTATGTTGACATAACCAGAGGGTAAATTGATTTCGATTTGTTTTTGTTCCATGACTTTGAATGGATTGAATGAGATATTGGACCTGAATTGAATGGGTGGACGTAGTTGGAGTTTATCATTGAGTTATAGACTTCATCCAACATGATTTTTGATGTTTTTTATGTACCCTCTGGTAAACTTTCACATAACGAACTGGAAAGATCCACCATTTTTCATGGGAAAATCCACTATTTCTATGGCCATGGCTTCAATAGCTATGTTGACATAACCAGAGGGTACCCAAATCCCAAGATTCTTTGCAGGAAATCCCCTGGATGGAAATGAATCCCTGTGTCTTCACCGATACGGGGAGACCGGATATTTCAGGAATAAAGCAACGAACATCGCCAGGGGGGGTTCAATTTCTAGTTTTATTCCATTTCTAGTTATATTATATTTAGAAAGTCAACTATATTAATCTTCATTGTTTTATCCCATGAAAAAATGCATGAAATCTCCTCAACACCCTAGGTTTTCTCAGCATTTTCATCCCTATCCCATCCACTCAATATCCATCAAAGTTCTGTGATCATCTTCCTAACACTATGGGGGTCCTCACCTTGCTATGGTGGATTAACTATATCTTTATCCCCATTCAAGTACCATATTCCGTCGATCCAATTAGTTCATCCCATAGTCGATCCATATTCAATGCTAATGAACAAAGAAAAACACTATAGTTGATGAAATCACATGTTTATTGTTACCCCATGATTCTGCTGTGCCTATGATCATCCCACAAGGAAGGCCAGCTGCACGTGGTTCGCATGTTACTCGAAGCTCGCGCCGACATCAACGTCACCAAGCGGCCCCCTGGCAGCGATCCGAACGCGCCACCTCGACCTATGCCGACGAGCGGCAGAAACCAGGCGCCCGCTGGCGAAGGGAGATCACCTGATGGCCGAAAAAACATGGTGATGTGGAGATTTTATAGGGATGTGTATGGTGTTTTAACAGGATTTGATAGGCATATGGCATATTTATCCCGTTTTATGGGGGATTTTATAGGGATGTTTATTCGTTTATGGTAATCGTTATAGGATATTTATGGCATATTCATGGGGGTATCGTGGGATATCACTAACCAACGAATGGAGATGGGAAAATCATCGCAAAAAATCCATGAAACCTGGCGATTTAGACATCAAAAATCATGATACCATGGGTGTATGAGGGAGCTTCCAGCTGTTTTGTTCCAGGATCATCCCACTGGTTCATAAGCATAGAAAAAGTTCACCCATGAATGGGATGACCATAACCATACTGTAGTTAGTTATAAGCCATGAATGGGATAAGCCCACTGAATTGGAACTTACTAGGCAACCATTTCTGAACCAAGAAAAAACGAGGACCGTGGGATCCGAAAGAACCAACCTGCCGGATCCAACAGGATCCAACATCACGTCCCGCGCCAGATGCCGGACGGCAGTAGCGCCCTCTTTGCCGCTGCTGCGATGAACAAGTTGACGGTGGTGAAGTACTTACTGGCTGCGGGGGCCGACAAGGACTGGGGGACTGAACAATTCCAAACTGCTGGATTTCGCCCCGTTTTTTTCTGGCACGGTGACTTTCGCAATGATGGATGTCATGGTGTTTTAAATGACGGTTTAATGATGTTTAATGGTGAAATTGGGGCCATAGGCGGCCATACCCACTACTACATCCCATGATTGCGTGTTGTCCCCATTGTTTTAGTTAAATCCCGGTGTTCCAGATTTGTTGCCAAATCTTAAATTTTCACATTGGGCAAAGCAAAAACCATCCACTTAGGTAAATTATAGCGACGTCGCAGGCCTCACTGTCGATGATAGTAAGGGGAATAGTCCTGAGAATGGCTGATACTGTGGATGGAAGAAATCCTGCACCACCTTGGATGGTTGAAACCCTTTAAATAATGGGATAAAACACCTATGAATTGGTGCAGGAATTCTTCCATCCACAGTATTTCAAGTTGTGGAATCTGAATGATTGCACCCATGCAGATGGGCTATTATGCGTTAACGGTAATATAGCCCACTCAAAGTAATGATCTGACTAGCAATGAATCTCTTGGTTTCTCTAGAGAATCTTACGTTTTCCGGAATTGGTTGCTGCAGGAAAATTGACAGCTTTTTCCTACAAATTTAGGCCAGAAAAGCATGGTGTACTACCAATCCCAGAAATCCCAAGGGAGTTCCTTCCCAAGGACCTCCCACACAGAGCGGAAAATGGTGCCACCCCCTTGTCGTTCGGCATCGAGTGAACTGCAAGACATGAGTCTGAAAATGGGGATACCCATAAAATCTGGAAAATATACCGTATAATGACTTCACTGTGACCAAAAACTGTGACCTCAATACTGGTTAGGATGGGGAATTATTCCAATATAGCATGATTTATTCGAATTTAGCCACTTTTCATGGGGAAAATCATGATCAAATTTTGGTATGCAGCATTTTCAGACCCCAAATGTTCACCAACAGCAAGAAATTTGGGAGTACCATTTGGTGTCATTCAACGCAATTGGAAATCCACTATAGATGCAAGGTTTAATTGTAAAATCAACCATAAATGGTGAATTTTCCAGCTCCCCACGTTTGACTACCAGGGGGGTAATTAGTCAATGAAGATCGAGAGTCCATCGGTAAACAAATTGAGAATTGGCTGAGATTTGTGTCAATAAAAATCAATAAAAGCTGGGAAATCACCTACAAAAGTGCAAGTTTGATCAACAAGAAACGCAGAAACCTTGGTGAAGAGTGGTATGACCCTCAATCGATGGAATCCAAACCCCTGATACTGGGCGAAAATGTGCGGCTGCCGACCACTGTCGATGCAGATTCTAACTGAAACAAGCATCTTTTGCTGGCAAAGCAATCACTTTTCAACATTTACACCTGTGTTGTAGGATTGTAGGATAAGTAATACTAATATGGATATATATATATATATATATATTACTTTACATTATAGCTGAAACAGGCATTTTTTTCAACCACTCGTATCATCACGTATCTTAGGATGTCACTTATCCCTGCAGATTCCCTGGAGAATCAGCTGCTTTAGCGCACTGTTGGTTGATGATTAGTGTGTCGAGGGATCATGTTTACAATGTAACCAAGGGTTTCAACCATCAACATGGCTATTTCAATGGATACCTGGTTGGTGGTTTGGAACCATGGAATTTGATGATTTTCCATTCAATCCCAGCTGACGAACTCCATCATTTTTCAGAGGAATAGGTATACCACCAAACAGATACGATAAGTGATGGATACGATTGATGATTTCAGGGGTGATACTACCCAAATATGCAATAATTCCGGGATTGTCATCATCCATGAACTTGGAATTCCCTTCTTAACCAAACAGTATTTCATGGAATGAGCACAGAGTTTTTGAACACTGCTTAATTTGTGTCAAATCCTCTGAAATCCTACCAAATCCCATGAAACCTGGTTATATCCCATATGAATTGGCTACAACTGAGGTATATTGGGTACCCTCAAATTCCATTAGATTCTCTGAATTTTCCCATTGAAATGGGCTACAAATGGTGCTGAATCCCCTATGTCCAGGCGATATAAGGTGGCCCCCCCTCAGTTTTGGGGTGGTTAGTGAAACCATAGTAATTAGTTCGTTATATCCTCCTAATCATTGGGTTGGTTTAAGGGAAAACCTTAACCGGAAACCATTTGTTTTGCCACCAAATATAAGGCTTCCTCTAATTTTTCCCTTAAACCAATTCACTTACCTAACCCAAATCTTATTGCAGTTATGTTCACCAAGTTGTCACGATGAATTTCTCGCTCACCGCCAGAACTGAGGTACATTGCAGCATACAAAGGTCACACGGAAATCGTGAAAAACCTGCTGACAGCCAGAGCTAGGCTCCAGGTGGAGAAGAAATCATCGACACTGGTCCGAAGGGCTTTGAAAATGGGGATTTTAACCATCAAAAGTTATGGCAGAATGGGAATATCATGGAAATACAATGGGAATATCAAATATGTTCAAATGCCATGGGTATATCTTGGGAATACAGTGGGAATATCAAATATGTTCAGATATCAGGGGAATATCTTGAGAATATAATGGGGTATACCGCAAAAATTGCAGTTTGACAGCGAAAAGGATTGCCTATTTTGAGACACACGATGCCCTCACCGTTGCTGCCAACACCATCTATCTCCACTATCCTGGGTACACCTGGAATTGATCATTTAGTACTTCAATCTTCGATATACCTGGTTTTGAAAATTGGTAGCCCATTCCACTAATGAATCATCAGTTTCCCTATACTGCAATTGTTTGGCGGTTGCATCCTTTATTTTCCGACCTAGTGTTATCCTAATCTCCCATTAAATCCCATGAATCTGGGCTGGTTAATGCCATGAAATTTCATGGTTAATCTCCATTACTCCAAGGTTGATCATAAGAGGTCCTATCCTCAAGGATCGTCACCGCTGATCGTCACACTTTTCGGCATCTTTTTGGGGTTGCTGTAAGAAAACCATGGCAACTCACCGTGGAAGATCACACATTGCCCAGATGTTCTTCCACGTCGCTGATATATTTGGACATAAAACATCAGAGCGCTGAATAATTATATACATATATATATTTATACATATATATATGTATATATATATGTATATATATATGTATGTATATATATATGTATATATGCATATTTGCATGTTTGCATGTATGAATCATTTATGTGTACATAGATAGACATATATTATATATACATCCATGTGTTGGAGATCAGGCTTTGCCCCGCGCTGGTGGCCGCAGTGGAGATGTCACACCTGGACACCTTGCAGCTTCTGTTGGAGGCACAAAACGCAACGGAAGGGGCACATGAAAAGGGCAACAGTACATGGGGTATATATCAATGATCCATTTTTAATAGGGAAATCATCATGTTTATCATCTATTTCTATGGACCATTTTCCATGGCTATGTAACAAATAACCAGAGGGTATATATATATACTAATGGGATACTAATGGGGGTTATTCAATAGGAAACTCAACTATTTCTATGGGCCATTTTCAATAGCAAACTGTTGGTTTACCAGAGGGTAATATGAAAATAAATGTCTGGTTGGTGGTTTGGAACCATGGAATTTGATTAGACTTTCCATATTAATTGGGAATTCCATCATCCCAACTGACGAACTCCATCATTTTTCAGAGGGGTGGGTATACCACCAACCAGATATTAATGGGATACAAGTGAATGCATTATCTATATATATATTAGAAGATGGGAATATACTAATGCATGATTGAATAAAGATTTAATGGGATTATCTATAGATTACCATCTATTTCTGGGCGATTGCGGTATCTATCGTTAGATTATCTAGAAATTACAATTATATGATGTATACTAGATGATTTATTACCATGTATATTGCATTGTTAATATATCAACACAATAGTTGTTAATAATGTATTGAAAATATCACATATAATTATTCAGTTATCATATGTTGATGGTTATGTATTGTGATACTATCACCATGTTGTTTAAGATATTAATAGCATTATTTCTCTCGATAAATTGCTATGTTTTGCCGGTTATATAGTCGTTATTGTAAATGTCATTGTTATAATGTTTATCATTATTACCGGTGATAACATTGTTTCTTTTGATATTGTTACTGATAATATTGTGGTTAATTCTATAATATGCTGGTGACACTGTATTATTGATATTACTATCAGTATATTCCCATCAATAAAGATAATCAGATATTGTTAATAATATTAGTATTGGTTTGACTATCATGGTTGAACATTGATGACTAGTATTATGACAATAGTTGATAGTGTTATTTCTATTATTGTTATTCCTGTTGCGGTGTTTATTGTAAGTTTGCTTGCATTTGTTCTTGGTTTATTTATTGTTCTTACGTTCTTAATTGATACATTTCACAATTAAGTATGCAGGGATAGCATTCAACCAACAAAACTCCGGGAATACGTTCGGAGACTCCGCCGGAAACCTTCGGGTTCCAGGTCATGTTTTCCCTTCAATGAATCCATTGAGACAAAGGTCGCGTCAGTAAAAGTACGTAGAGATGCACAAAAATTGATATGGGGAAAGCCTAAAATGCTGGTACCCCAAGCTCGCTGGATGTTTTTTTTATGGTGAATTCCGAGAATAAAATGGATGATAAAAATAGCGGTACTTCCATGACTTCACCACCATATATTTGGGCCCTAAATCCCATGACAGATGCGGATGATCCATCCTCAGGACAAGCATTCCACATTGTTAAGTGGTACCCTCTGGTTATTTAACATAGCCATGGTATAGATGGCCCATTTATAGATGGTTTACCTATTAAACATGGTGATTTTCTATGGCTTTGTTAAATAACCAGATTGTAAGTGGTAATACTTGGCAACTGGTGATATATCGTTCAGTATCCAATTGACATTCACTGACTGTATCATTGCCTAGAGTATCATTGCCTATGGAACTTTTATGTGAACTATTCTCCACTTTGCACGTTAGCGCAATTATCCAATTATTCCTTTTAGTTCAGGAAGTTGTCTGCTTACAGCATACTTATTTTTTGTGTGTTTGTTCTAAGAGTTGGATGAGTTGTCCCCTTCTACAGTTGATGATATATGTTCAAAGCTTTTGTCCAAGTAGTATAGTTGACTCAGCCAGTTATTCTGTGTATAGTTATTTTTTCGGATGTTTTTGTGGTTGTTAGTTACAATCCATTTAATTAGCAGCAATTCCATATTTTGTGTAGGTGGTTACCACTTACTGCAAGTTATTATGCAAGTGCTTATCCAATGCCATTATCTAGTTGTTCTGTAAAGGGGTCTCACCCGATTAGTTATTATCCAAGAGAAAGAAGCTAAGTCAGTGAGTCATTCGCTTACAGGTCATTCTATGTACGCGATCCCGTTTGAAAGGTTACGATCCCCTTACCAATGGCGCGGTATAACTATGGAGGTAGTAATATAGTAGTTATGTAGGTTGCAATCCATTGTAGATTATTATCCAGTTGTTTTCTAATTTTCCTGGTTATTCTATCTAGATCATTATCGGATTACGTATCATGGTTGTCCCAGTATAGCTATCGTACTTATTTTATAGCTATCCCTATTCCACTGGAACATCAAACTACTATAGTACACGTACGAATAGCTATAAGATATTACAGAATTCTGATGTGACATTCATGCTACAAATTTTCATACATATGACAATATGACATTGGAGGTTTTGAATCACTTACTCAATTGTAGCCATCCCATAATAGTATCCCAAGATAGCGGCGAGCTATTCTTTTGTAGTATCCAGTGTTTTGTTTCACTATTTTCCGGTATATTACATACTTATCAATACTTTTCATACAATATCCCATGTTACCACTATGAAACTATAAAATAACATAATTCACAATTCAGAAAAATGCGATATTTTTCATGTTGTTTTCCTGTAGGATTCGCAGATACAACAAGACATTGGAGGTCATGATCCACTAATACTTGAAGGATCATCCCTAATGGTTAGCCTGGTTAGAAAGTCCCAGATTCGTGGCTTATCCCAATAGGCTTGGACACCAGTTACTAAGATATTGTCGGTTACTAACCAATATGACTGGATTTATATATTTATATTTATTTATTTATATATGTATATACACTTACATTTACTAGGATTTATTTCACTAACACTCTGTCGATCTAAAGGTCCATGTAGAGATTGTTCAATGGTCGCTTGCAGATAAAGGAACCATAAAAGGAATCTAGATCAACTACCACTTATGGATCACTAGATCCACTACTTGTAGTCCAGTATTATCTATAGATTTTACTACTCATGGTAGAGTTTTCTCATTTGTGAGTTTCTATCAATATTCACTACTCGCTAATAATCACCAGTGGATAAAACCATCTATGGATCACTAAGAATTTAGATCAACCATCATTAGTAGATCCCTAATACTCATTTGCGAGTTTCTATTGATATTCACTACTAATAGATTTTACTATTCATTTTACTACTCATTGATATTGACTACTATTGATAGTCATTACTAATACTTAATTTGAGTAGATTTGATGAAGAGAATGATGTTCATTAGCAACTTTACTACTATTGATATTCATTACTATGCATTTTACTATCTAATCATTACTACTAAATCACTAATAGCTATTGAAAATCACCATCAATAGGTAAATCAACGAACTAAATGTGGTGTGTTCTTCCATTTTCAATAGCTATTTTACATTACCAAAGGTTGCATATATCATCATATATCAACAATATATCCATGGGGGCAACCAACATTCACATCACTGGAGGGGGCACCACTGCAAACAACATCTGAGGTTACCCTCTGGTAAACGTTTACATAACTATGGAAAATAACCATGCTATTAATGGGTAAATCAACTATTTCTATGGGCCATGGCTTCCATAGCAAACTGTTAATCTTACTATAATTTACTATAGTTATGTTAGTAATGATTAACAGCTATTTAGTAGTAATGATCACCATTTTCCATAGCTATGTAACAAATCAAGGGTATATCATTATCAACTACCATTATTAACCATTATTAGGCACTATAAACAACAACTGTTGACCATAGCTAACGATTCTTAACCATTACCCCCTGGTAAATTAACAGTTGGACCCTGAAAACCAGCAATTTTTAATGGAAACTAGTCTTCCAACCCCGAAAAAAAGCCAGGGTCTATGTTAATGTACCAGAGGGTAGTAACCATTATTAAATCTGGATTTTCCTCGATTTGATGCACCATGGGACTGTCGAGGCGCGGGCCCATGCCATCGAGGATTCCGGGATGACTTTGTTGGCGGTGGCGCAGGGGGACAACAGCCAGGCGTCGTCGATCAAATGGCAACGCTTTCATAGGGAAAATATGTGGAAAATGGTGATTTTACTGGGGAAAATAGTGATTTTACTGGGGAGAAGTGTGTTTTCCTCGGGAAAATGGTGATTTTACTGGGGATTTCCATGTTTCAGCAACTGATATGAGAATATGTCATGATGATATAGTGGAAACCGGTGATACATAGTGATGTGTATGGTATTTTTCATAGGATTGAATAGGACTTAATGAGCCATCTAGTGGGATTTATGCAACTGATATGAGAATATTTCATGATGGTATAGTGGTTTAATGCGGATTTCCAATATGTGGAAAGGCATGGCAAGTTTTATAGGCAAAATGAATGGGATTATCTATGGAATATGTTTGCAATATATGATTGAAGCATCTTAAGGCGATCTTAATGGGAGCTAGTTTGATTTAATGGGGATTTCACAGCCAAAAACAATGAGTACATTGTGTGTTTTTTCTGAGAACATCATGGTGATATACTGGTGATTTCATGGGGAAGTAACGAGGATATGTCATGATGATCTCATGGTTTTCATGCGGATTTCATGGGATCACCCATGGGGGAGTTCTATATTAACTGACAAGGTCATCTTGATACAAGGTGGTGCCCCCAAGATAGCTAAGTTGGGTTATAACTAACTCCAATAACTAGGGTTTATAGGTGTTATATCTATAGTTAATGAGGTTTATAAACCAATTTATATCTAGGGGGCACCATCTTGATATGATTCCAGCCGCAGCAGGTCGCAACACCATCACGGGGTGGCTGCGGTCGACCCGTCGACCCGCAAGTCGCGATTTCTTTAGTACGAAAACTATCTGAAGCATCCCATGATTTATGTTTCGGCTTAAACGCTGGTCACAGTTAACCAACCATCCTGTGTTTCTTGGTTTGAAAAGCATGTGTTCTTGCTTGATCACCATTTTTGGTGCTTCAATTGCATGATTTTTGCTGGTTAAACCTCCTTTTGTGTTGCTTGTATCATCATTTTTTGGTTCCTCACACTATCCGATGTTTTGCAGGGGGCTTGTCCAGGCAATGCTAAAACTCTTGCAGTACGGTGTCCACAAGGATCGGGGATCAGAGATCGGTTCCATGGCACCATGAAGAATGACGCTTCTTGACTAAGAATGACAAAAGATACCCTCTGGTAAATAAACATAGACCCTGAAAATCACCAATTGTTAGAGGAAACTAATCTTCCAACCCCTATCTACCAGGGTCTATGTTAATTTACCAGAGGGTACATTTAACCAACCAAAAATTATTCCATTGCGAAATGAACCACCAAAATTGGCCTGGCCAAAAAAAAGAAATTGACCAACAAACAGGGATTTCATTGGAGATTAGATGCTTGCTTCACCATCCGGGCCAACAAAGCAGAGTTATGATCAAAGATGGGCGATATCATGGTTATCTCAAGCAGTGAACACCACTTTATCTAAAAAAACTTGATTTTAACCATCCTGCGGCAGATTTCAGGTCGGATGTTTGACAGTTTCAGCATCATATCCTCATTCTATTGCTGAAAAGAATTGGGAATACGAGGTTCTCCATGTCCAGATTTATATATGGAAAAAAGAGAGACACAAAAAATGTGGCTAGTAAAATTGAACAATAATGACTGTATTCTATGTCCTGCCAGTTTCAAAAAGAAGAGCCAGTCATCCATCATTAACTATCCCCCTATAGTACATGTCCACACCAGCGTTCAATTCCCAGTATGTATCATCATATCTCCATTCTATTCCTACAAAAGCCGGTCGATGGTACCCCCTAGTTATAATTTGGTCTATATACCCATCTGACTGCATGAAATATCAGAGCATAACCCCAGTTCACCTCGTTTATTTCCACCAAACTGTGCAAAACAAAGACTCATGTCTCGTCATTGTCCTTGCTTCAAGGCCACCAATCTTCCAGGAAAAAAAGAACCAAACCCTCCTCGCAGCGCGGTCAGGACCGTTGCGATAGCTGCGGTTGGGCTCCAATGCACGCGGCCGCCAGCTGCAATGCACTGAACGTCACCAAGACTCTCCTCGCGGCACGGGACGCTTGGGATGAAGCTGTGGTCTGTTGGAGGATTTTTTGGCAAAAAATGGTGGAAGTTAACAGAATTTTACCTGAGATTTGGTGAGTTTTACCGGGGAAACATATGGAAACATTAGATACCCCAAAAAACATCTAGGGTGACACAGTGTGGCATGTTATCCATACATCAGGCACCCGGGGCTTTGTCGGAAAAAAACACAAAACATACCGTGTTCTACGCCATGGGAGCGCCAAGTTGTGACGAACTCCGAGATGTGGTTCCCTTGAACTTACAACATCTGGGTAAATTGCTGCGACCCCATTTGAGCTCACCATAGATCATGGTTACTTTGAATCTGCGGTTTGGAGAATATTGTAATTATTTTGCAACATGTTCAGACAAATCGAAATCAACAAATGGTCCCTCACAAAACATCACCATCATTACCATCAACCTCAGATAGTTTTCGGGGGCAACCTCACAGATGGTTTACCCTATTTAGACTATAACGTCTACGTAAACGTGTATATGTGTTCAAATACCATCCCATTTAATTATCGTACCGTTATCGTTATCATTTATTAACAGTATAAATTAATGTATACATATATATATAGATGATAATATTCCTGTGCATAGATTGCATCTGATAGATATATCTAAAATGGAGTTCATTTTAGATATAGTGAGACAATAACTTGTCACATACATTGATAAAAACATATATGTGTATGTGTATATATATATACACATGGATTTAAAAAGTGTTATCCCGTATGCATCGATTACTGTCCAGATTAAATCACAGAAAACCCCCACGAAATCTCCAGAAAAAAATATGAGATCGTCCCATGAAACTATGGGATAACCTGTGGAATGATCCTCCAAGGAAATAAGTGGGTTAATCGGTTAATCATTGATTACCATTACATCATTTGTCATATACCTTGTAAATCCCATTAGTTCCGAATGTAGATCCCCATTATGATCCAGAGACACTGATTGTCATTCTATGATTATTGGTGATCCCAATAGTATGTGGCCCGTATAATTCAATGGGTGAGTCATGAAATATGACCATTGAACGTTGGTGATGTTCCTTTCCATTATATTTTGCAATGGACCAGACGGTGTATATATATATACATACATACATATTACTATATCCAGTAACAATCCGATTAGTATCCATTGTATATCCTATTATATTTGTTGTATCATTGCATCCCATTGAACATTGGTGATACCCCAATAATGTCCCATACCCCCATTATACCATTCTATATCCACTAGGAATCCCATTCCCATTATATCTCCATGAATATGTCCTAGTGTATTAACTTCCATAAAGTACAGTAATGTATTCCCATGATATCTTTATATCCGGTCCACTAAATCAAAACCAATAGGTGTATATATAGATATACCATTATCTCCATTGACATATATGGTCAACATAGTCACATATGGCTTAGGTCAAAGCCCTGGCAGCTAGTGAACCCCGAAATAGCTGGGATTTACTGATGTTCATCCCACTAAAATATGATAATAATTGGTTTTGACCCACTCCCATATAATTCCATTATGGTTAGCATTAATATCCCATCAATATGCTATCCCATTCATATGTCACCCCAACTGCTATCCCATTTTAAGATCCCATTATAAACACATATACTATTATCTCCATTGGCTCATGGTCAATATAATTACATTTAACCACTACTACTCCCATTGCTTATTGGGATATATGATATACCATTGGATATACACCATTATATACAGGATGGTATTGTTTTAGGAATTCGTTTTTATTTTGTTTTGATTTGTTTTGTTTTTCGGTCTGGGGCCGCTTTTCCTTGTTATTGCTGCACTTGGCTTCACTTGGCTTCACTTGGCTTCACTTTGGCTTCACTTGGCTTTTGGCTTTTGGCTTTTGGCGTTGGCTTAGAAGCCAAAAGCCAAGAGTCAAGTGAAGCCAAAGTGAAGCCAAGTGAAGCCAAGTGCAGCAAATAACAAGGAAAAGCTGCCCCAGACTCAAAAAAAATAACAAAACAAAAATCAAAAACAAAAACAAAGAAACCATATCTTGCTGCATGCTGGTTCCCACATCGAAACTCAAGACCGATTGGTCGAAATCCGCCGGAAAAAAAAATGTACAAGTCTCGTTCACCTCTGTCCTTGGATTCTGGGGCTGTCAAGCATTATGCAGCATTGATCACTGCGGCCTCTCTCCATGATGTACGCGAAGCGTTATCTTCTTTGGACTTATACGACAGCGAAGCCAAGCCTTTCAAATGCTGGCAAAGCACAGCAAAAGCGTTGGATGATTGGCGTTGTGTCGTTTCTGGCCCCTTTGTTGATTCTTTGTGGAGAGAATACCATGATGAGCCTCCTGCTGTACAAAACAAACATCGGCTTTGGCCTTGCTATGGTTGTCATGTTGCATCACTCCGGGGTCCACGTGAGCATGCGTACTGCTGCATGGAACACGAGGGCCAACGGTCTTCTAGTACGTTGCCGACAATCTTTTGCCGTTTCGCTTGTGCCACTTGCAAGGCCGAGCCACTTGCATCTCTTCCAGCTCCTGCCTCTGGAAGTTCATTGGCCACTGCCGGATCCTCAGTAACTGTTCTGCCTGTGCCTGTGTAGGATCATGCGGTGGCTGCACCGTGCGAGAACTCAGGCGAAAATGCTTCAAACAGCCCTGCGCTCAGAAACAGAAACAACATATATACAGTGTGTATTCGTTTGTTACGTGAAAGATTGCGAAGTGAGAACATGCCGCTTCTGTATTGTCTGAGCGTGTTGCTGTCTGGAACTCAGCGGGCGAATCGTCTTTTCTTGCATGTCCAAACAGATGTGCGTGCTGGTGCCTGGCGAACATGCTTAAGAATCAAACGTTCTATTTTGCATTTTGCACCATGCAACACTGCACACACAGTGACAGTCGGGAGCGATCTGCTGCTGCATTGCCACCATCTTGTCCAGGAACTGTCTGGCCCTCAGTCTCTTAATCCTGTATGCTGGCCATCTTTCACGGCTAATGACTAACGCAGAAACAACGACCGCGTGCCTGTTGGACGACACATGCTCATGGATTGTTGTTTCTTGGCTTTCGTTTGGTTCCTGCCAGCACATATGCCTCAGCAAAGTTTAAGGCAAGCTCAGCTGCTTCTGCGAAGCCATCTTCATCACCTGAGGCGGCTGCTCCTTCGTTCCTACTGATCCAACATGGTTTTCTGCCGGTATTTGCGTTGTATAGCTACCTGCTTCATTTTCTGAGCATGTGAAAGCATCCGGCTGTAAAGCAGGAAGACACAAGCACATCCGATGCGGTCTTTGATGCATTTGTAGCTGCTGGAAAGGGTCTGTCTTGTTCTTTTATCTCCTTTTTTTCGCGTAGCAACATCTCGTTTCTTCGTGATGCCTCAACATCAGGACTTCACGAACCCATCCGGCCCAGCACCTTCATCTACCCATCAGACAAGGGCTGAGGCCAGGAGCGTAGCAAGATTTTTCGTGACCGTCATCAACCAGACACATATTGTCTATGATTCTAATCAGCAAGACACAACCACGTCCGAAGAGTAACTTTCATGATCCTCGTCCCTTGCTGAGGCGCAAAAACGCAAATCGCCCGAAGAAGCTGCTTGTAGCTTAGTTCCCACAACACCTCCGAAACCTCCATTGCAAACAAAGTGTCCACCATCAAACATTGCTTCAGGCAAAGTCGGAACGTAGCACCTTGCGACTTGCTGACTTCGGCTTGCTCAAGGACCCAAAGCTTGCGCCTGATATATTGCTGATCTCTCTAGCAATGTGTACACAATGATGTTTCATATATTGCTGATCTCTCCGGATAACTGGAGGCGAGTGATTTACATACAAGAACCCAGACTGCCAACATTCGTGAGATGTTGGCAGGCAGCAAAGCGGCTGCGAAGAACGACTACAAGAAGAAGTCACAAAGATCACCTCTCGCGCGGCCAAAAAAAGCTTACCAAGCAAGTCTTCATATATACCGGTGACGGTTCTTCTGTGTGGCGCAGTGCCGGCTTAAGGGTTTAACTTGGTACAATTTGGTGGTTTCATTTTCTGGGGTGGCAACCATGTGCATCCATACTTTTTGCAGCGTGTTAGTCAAGCAGTTCTCCCGCCGCCTGCCTCAGCAATTTCATCTATGTCCAAGTTCGATTTGCCATTGCGGGTCCAATGACAATCTACATATGTCTCTTAATGTCTTTGGCCCAAGCAATGAAGTTGTGGAACAAGCCAAGCAACGCTGCACTGTTCTTGGCTAAGCCAGAGGGCGGTGCTTTGTTGCAGCCTGGGTGGTACTTCTGCCAGCCATGAGCGATAACATGGCGGCGCTGCGTATTAATGCTCAGACGGTGGCTCAGCTGACCCAGCGGCTGAGAAGAAGCATCGGTTCTGTGGATGCAAAAAGCAGGCAGAAGTTGTTGCAGCGCACGCTGCTGGTATATATCTGGGGAAGGCATAGCCTTGAAATTGCCGCTTGTTTTTTGCAATCTGCGACCAATTCGGCCAAGAGTATGGAAGAATGTTGCGAAGAGGTGGTAGGCATGTACAGAAGTGCTGCAACAGATTGGTTGGTTAGATTATCCATAGAGCCTCCTCCGGGCGCAGCGTTCAAAGCCGCGCAATTTGTTGTGTCATACCGTCTGTTTCATTGGCTGCAGCAACAAAACGAAAAGGGCGTGGCGCCTCGCAGACGGGATTTAGTTGCGCAAGCTCTTGAAAGCTTTCCAGAAGGGATGCCATTGGAAAGCCTCTGCAAGTTCAAGCACACCTTGCGCCACAAGCGCTCTCAAAACCAATGGCTACGGAGGTTTCGGCTGCAGTGGAATGCTCGACTGGCCAAGCTACCAGTCTTGCCGCCACTACCTTTGCACCTGAGACAAGAGAAGGTCCGGTGTTATTTTGCGTTTTTCTTGCGTTTGTTTTTTTTTCCCGGGCCTCGGGCAAGCTTGCTTTTGGGGTCAGGATGAGGGACCCTGCTTTAAGGTTCGTATTTTCAATAACAGTAAGCCCACAAGCAGCAAAGGCATGGACAGTACCCACTTTCAGGATTGAATTTGGAGCTTTGTTTTTGAGTCCACTTGTCGCGTTTTTAATTGTGAGGCATTCGCATTCTACAGATGGTGCAATGCTCTCCTTGCTGGACATGAAAACCCCTTGCTCCTCAACATGGCTGAATGCAGTTTGAAATTGTGTCCCACAAGGATATTGGGGACTCTGGTAAGAGGACAGCCTGACATTGAGCAACAAGCGCCTCTAGATGCCCGCAGAAAGTGCTTGACGCTCATGGCGACAATTTGCTCGGATCCTGTTTTGGCAAAATACCTCCCACAAGTCGTTGTTGGCAATGAACATGTGCTGCCCCACCGTCTCTGTGCTGCAGTAGCGTCCGACCCGGCGCTGGATTTGCTTTGGTGGCGAAAGACTTCTTGGATCACAGCTGAGACCATGGTAGCGTATTTAGAAACCTTGTGCAAGAATTTGGCACATGTGTTGCCAAATCGGCTTTGTGCGCTGCTTCTTGACGCATGCCAAGCTCATTTGCACAGAGCAGTGCTTGAAACAGCACGTGCCAGGAATTTGAAGCTGGTAGTTATACCGGCGCAAACTACACCTTGGCTGCAGCCCCTTGACTTGTTTGTTTTTCGTTCATGTAGAGAAAAGATGGAGGAGCTGCTTGTGTCAACAAGATGTCAATCAGCCGGTGGAAACTTGAGCCAAATGGCATGGCTGCGTGTCGTTAACGATGCTAAACAGCAAGTTTTGATCGACCGGGCACACACATCAGATTTTGAAAAAGCTGGTGTGTTGTGCCAGCAAAGGCTTATGTCTTCTAGGGTCGCTAAGGGTTTGGCATGGAAGGAAATGGCTTCAGTCCCAAGGACTTGGCCCACAATTCACCAAGTGGCAATGCTTTTTCCGCGAAAACGGAAAGCTGACTTTGGAGCTTGGCTTGGTTACTCTGAATCAAGTTCAGAACAACCAATCCCATCATTGGATTGAAAAACGGTGTGACCTGCTTGTTTGCAAGCTGCGCCCACAAGGAAACCATGAGGGAGGCTTTTGGCGTACGTAGTTATTGCTCTTTGGTGAAGCCCCATTTCTAGGGCCCAGTGCTGTACAGGTGCTGAAGGAAGAGCTCAAAGTTCTAAAGGAACAACGCAAGCAGTTACGAGAGGCTTCGGTGCCTGAAGATTTACTTGTGGTTGCTTAGGTGGAAATCAGGAGGTTTGATCGCTGACGGCGAGGCAGTTGCGACCAATAGAAAGGAGCAGAAGCTGGCCGCCAAAAGGCGCCAGCGACTTCTCAAGGTTCGGCTGCATCTCTTGAATGGAAATTGCGTATTTCATGCGTGCTAGAAGGTTTTGTTGCCGGGAGGCTGCCTCCCAGCTTTCTGTCCAAGACTTGCAAACGCTTGTGAATGAGCTGCAGCAGTAGCCTGAGCCGGATGGCCTTCTTGGATGCGCAGTGTGCCATGAGCGCATACGCTCACAGCAAGCACTTTGATCTATAGGGGCCTAACGTGAAGGTAAGAGCAGGCTGCAGTAGGTGCCATCACACTTGTGCAAACAGGGTTGGCAGATCTTTTGTTTCGAGTTTTGAAGATGTGACGTACATCTTGTGCGAAGTCCTCTTTGTAGTTCTGCAAGAATCTATTTGATTTTTGGCCAGGAGTTGGACATGAAACTTTGACTCAGCTTATTCAACCACAGTTTCAAGCCAGTCCGGTTTTCGGCTTTTTATGGACCATATGCATGAGCAAAAACGGCACAGCAGCGCTGTAGGCTCAGTCGGCTCAGTTTTCCAAAGAACCTGTCTTTTTCAACGACAACAGCTCATATGCCGAATCTTGCCGAACAATAGCAGGAATTAAGAGCAAACTTGTTGAATTGCAACTGCACGGCCACTGCGGTCCATGGGAGTGCACGCACAGTACGGAGGACTTTTAGTCTCAATGTTGCAGCTGTCACACTTTTTCTGAGTTTCCAAGACGATTGTTTGTTTTTTTGAATCTTTGCGAAGGAATGTGAAGCGCACCAGCTTGCATCAGTTTGAACCATTGTACACGTGGTGATTTTTGCGCCTTTTTCAAATAGCCGATCGTTTGCATGTAAATATTGATGCACGTATCCATAGAAAGTACCATTGCGACGAAGCCCAATGTTGGTCAAGCGACTTTGGAAAGCAAGTGAACCATGTCAGCTGAACTATGTAGTTCTGCCTGCAAGTCACATGTGAAGTCATGTTTTTTCGCAGGCTCTACTGCTTTTCCTCCGTCGTGTTTTTTTTCCTCTTTGAGTTCCCACCTTGGAATCTTGAACTTTGGAAGCGGTAAGCGTGCAGGATTGAGAGTCAAAATCTTAGGCGTTTTCCATATTGTGTATGGCCGTTTTTTGGCTATACAAATGTATACGGTTCATGCCGCGGCGATAGCCTCACGTTTCGAAAGATTTTTTTCCGCTATTTGCACGGTATATATTTAGTAGCGCGTAACCCGACGTTTGCGATCGCTATACTGTGTATGAATACAGAGATAGTTTGTCTTTGTATATTGTTTTAACGCGTGGTCAAAATATATGCAGGCATGTAATTGCCAGCATATGGTTTTGCGTTCCGTGGTTTGCTGTGCTGGTGTTTTTGCAAAGGAAATAATTTTGTTTCCCGGAGGAACAACCGACTTGTGAAAGTTTTTGGTACCGGCTTCGTTTGGATTTGACGTAACCATTTTTATAGCCTTATTTAGATCGCATGTACTCTTTTGATCTTGTTGGGGGCTTGCATAAAGCACACAACAATGTGTTGTTTAAATCAGTTTGTCCAAATAGCTTGGCGATTTTGGATTTTTTGGAGAAAATGAATGAAAACTAATGGAAAATGAAGGAAAACTAATAGCAATCAAAAAAAAAAACCTTTAAAAAATCATAACCTTTATATATATATATACACACACTATTTTTAATCGATTATAATATCCCAATCAGTCTCTATATATATATATCCCATTCATCCCATATTAATCCCATTATGATTAGCATGAATATCCCATATTTCTGGGTAAATTTAATCACGACCTCACTGTTCTCCCGAACCCTGGAATCATGTTTAGTAAGAGGAATCATCCCCAGATGGCCGAACTATTCAGGTTAGTGAAATATGACAATTTTCCCAGATATTTATGTGTTATCTCATTTTTACATGTCATCCAACCGAGCCTAAAAAAGGCCACCCTGGAGAACACCGGAAAAAACGGCGCCACGCCGCTCTACGTGGCCGCCTTGAACGGCAGCAGGGAGGTGGTGAACCTTCTGCTGGAGGAAAATCCAGGGAGAATGAGGAGAAATGGAGATGCGATGAAAAATGCTGGATTGAAATATGAAAAGTGGAGATTTGAGCATGAGAAATTGAATATAGTGAGCAAAATGTTGAATTTAAGACAGGAAAATTGAACTTGTTCCAGTAAAACTTCAGAGAGTTAAACATCGAAAACGAGGGATAGATGATTGATAGCTGATGAAACCATCAAAAACAAAGCCAACATCGCCATCAACATGTGGATTTAAGAAGTAAGAAATGGGTTGTTACCAATAGAAATGAGTACTTGACTGTAAACGATGAGACAAACTCACATGGATCTCACAGGTCAGCATGGAACCTTAGCAACAAAATTTGCGGGTTAAACCATGAAATGATCAATGAGAAAGACTTCATCATCAAGACTGTGCTGGTAAAACCCCGGAAAATACCACATGAACTGCATTATAAGTTGGGGTATCCCCCCCACCAATGCCAGCGGATAGTGATAGGTTGATGATGATCCTGGTTGATCGTGTTTGCTTCTGCGGCTAATAGGGCCACATCTGCCAGAACGTGGGCACAAGCGCAGCCGCAACTGCCGTGGCGAAATCCCCATGTTTCGCTGTTCCATTCCCATTTGTCATGGTAACATCCAAAAAAAATACAGCTTGTGATTATGAAATCTTCAATTTCTATTGTGAAACCTATGATTCATGGGTTAAACCCACACTCTTTGATGGTCAAATACATCTCTATTCTGGATGTTTAAAACCCTCAAGTTTGATTGTTATCCCGATGTCAAATCCTATTTTTTGCATAATATATATGGTCGTTAAATCTCAATGTTAATATCTCTCAAATCTCTATCCTTTGGGCTCACGATCCTTATCCATGGTAGGTGTTTTTCAATAGCTAAACTCCAGATATTTTCCTGGTAAAATCCCCTTTTTTTTGTCAGTGAAATCAGTGAAAGTCCACCATTTTTGCCGGCCAGGCCCGGGCAGATCCGCACCGCCACCGACAGCACGGCTGGGCGCCGATTCACGCGGCAGCGTCCAATGGACACCTGGATGTGGTGCGACGATTGCTGCAGGCGGAAGGATCCAATGGGATACAAATGATCCATATAATATATATATATACATAATCCAAAAAAATGCTGCAAATACCATTGATAATATTTGATAATATTGATGGGATATCAATATAAATGATGCAAATAGCATCAAAAAAAGCTCAAGGTAGGCCCTGGCCCTGGTCGGGTGACCATATATAATCTATAAAATGCCATCTATAGTGGTGGTTTAACTAGGGAAAATGGGGATGACCATTTTGTGGATTTCAGCAACTATGGGGATAGTTCATAATGATATGGTGGTTTAAGGGGAATTCAACGGGATAATGAAGTTAGTCATGGGGGTTCTAGCTGGGACTCAATGGAATTTAATAGGCGTTGCCGCTGATTGAATGGGATTCAACGGGGTTTCATGGGAATTCATACGAGTTCATGGGGATTGAGTGGAATCTTTGCTGCCGCGGGGGGAAATCAACCAAATGGAAAGTAGTCTTGCTCAAATCTGGCCGGTTGTGTGGGTGTTGACTAAGCCGGGGCGATTTTTTTAGATCTTGTGTTGACATACTTATTCTCTCGTTCTACCATCACCTGCATCCGAAGGACCGCGTCGTATTGTCTTGCCAGAAGTGCCGCAGACAGATGGCCAAATTGGGCCAGCTGTGGTGCCGCTGGTGCAGCCGCCAGTGTGGGTGGCGGCCCCGCATGGCGAAGGGCTGTTAAATCTCAGCGCAACATTTGAAAGAGGCGGAACGCCTCGCAACCGAAATCGAGCGACGGGCGCCAGGGGCGCTGGCCCAGATTCATGTGGGGTCCCATATCTGGAATGCGCACGCGACGAGTCCTGACAGGTGCTATGATGGCTGAGATCTCAAGGGCTTCAAAGCATGCTAAGCTGGATCGTGCGCGTTGTTTTTCTAGCGCGTACCCTTGGATCTCTGGCAGTTTAACATTGCTATGGAGCTAGTGGGATGTAATAGGATTTAAATAGGGAGTTAGTTGGAGCTAATGGGATTTGATAGGAGTTAATGGGATTCGATAGGAATATCATCATTTTGTAAAAGCAATACATCTGTAAATTGCCAGAGAGTCAATTAATCTCACCAAATTCTAGTTGCTGTCTTTGGCACTGAACGGGCATGTGATTTACGTAGATAACTCAGCAGAAAAGGTCAACCCGTACCATTCTTCGATGCAGTGGGGATAGAATTGGGGATTCAACCTGCCCTATATCATAGCTATAAAATGCTATAAATGATGCTTTAATCAATGGGAATTCCAGGAGGTAGGTACCTCCAATATATGGTAGGTACCTCCAATGTAGGATCCTGAAATGGCCATTGATTTAACCTAACCAACACTTACTTGTGCTAAACATAGGGAATGAGGGAATGATCCATAATCACTAGTAATAATCATCCCAGAAACCCCACGCAACCCATCCATTCCCTACGTTTAGCACCAGTAAGAACAAAAATGGTGATATCAAACCTACCTGGGGATATGGATGGGCTTGTCTGAAATTTGGTATCCCGACAAAATTGCCGCTGAATTGGGAGAATGAGATTTCTAAACCCACCACTGGAAGTGGCTTTGGGTTTCCCTTAACAAAATTTTGAGACAAACCCATATGTTCCAGCCAAACTTGTGCATATACCCAGTGTCATCAGCTCCGTGGAAAACCCCCCCATTTCGATGATGTTCACAGCTACAAACCTCTTTAAAGAGCATGGGTCCATGGCCTTGAGCCGCAAGGCGAATGCAGACAAGAACCGACTGAAAGCAGCTTGGAAAAGCCGTGGGAGTCATTTTGTGGTGAAAGAATTTACTGGAAAATCGTGATTCAATAGGATTTAATGAGATGTTACGGGATTATAATGGGAATGCAATAGGACATATCACCTACTTGGGTGCAGTTGAATTGACTTTTATGGGTATAACATGGTATATCCATTGTATGTCAACCCCCATAAGTTGGGATAGAACCCCTAGTGAGGTCAACGTTCAAGTAAAATAGCGGTGTTCATGTCATGGTTTAAACGATGGATGTGTTTGGTTCAGCCGCGATTGAAAAGCCTATGGATGTGTGTTTCCTGTCCATTGACATGGAGCAGCGCCAGGGTGCCCCATCATTTTCACGCTTCCTTGGTGGCTCATCCCACTTAGTTGACAGGCCAAAAAGACCTGGCTACAGATTGGCTACGTAGGGCTCCATTTATATCTGGGTCATTTACTAAGTGGTATAAACCCCCTGTTGTACATCCCAATACTCCCAACCCCAATTGTTCGCAATCAAAAAACCCTGTTGGTTGATTACTTTTGGGGGATTACCGTCCATGAATGAAGAATCCGGTTCTCAACCAACCAGTTTTATCAGCCGGGCCGCGGTTGCGGGTTTAGCAGCCACCGCTCGCCTCCGATTTCTCGTTCAAGGACAATGGCACCACGCCCTTGTTCTTGGCATGCAGTCAGGGACATGAAGACGTGGTTGACTACTTATTGGAAGCGCGAGCAGATAAGGACTGGGATTTTTTAAAGCCATGTCAGTGCTGAAAAAGTCGATTGGACTAGATGACTAGCAACCTCCAAAAGATAGAAAAAGTGCTTCCAGGATGGTATAGATATGTTTCTCCTTTAATTTCCAGGTCTTCAATTTTTCTGTCCTTTGGCAGTTACTAATCCATCCCACCATTCACCGGACTGCCATCCCACCATTGATAGGGAATTACAGTCAGACCCCAATATTGTAAATCTCTGGTTGATTGATCGTCAAAACCCCAGGTGAGTTGACAAAAAAACAAACTGGATTGTTGATGGTCAAATCAGCATGTTAGTTGAAATACAAAATCCAGGCATCACTATATAAATGGAAATTTAAGCATCGAAATACTAACCATGAGACCATATTAGTCTCTTTAATGAATGGATAGTCCAAACGATTAATGTGCAGTACATAGAGTAGTTATTAGTCAATATTCAAAAATCATGATTAATGACCTAGCACGCTGTACAATTGTCGAGTTATAGATGATTAATATCGGGAATAGATTGCATTATTCCCACGTGTTGTACCATGTCTCGAAAGGTAGCGGTGAGCTACCTGAGTTCCCCCTTGCGTAGCAAGTATTAGGGGGCGAGCGGTGCAAGTGCAAGAGTTTGGGCCGGTTATGTCTCGGTCCGCCTTTCAAGGGGCCCCCCCCACCCTTCGATTCCCCCCAGGTCCGCCTCTAAAGCCGGGTTTGCAACATAGGCGGACTACAAGGAAACGCCAACAGCCGCACATGCACTTTCACCCACCACGTTTACATACATCCCCACCCCAA